TCACATCTGTACAGATAAAGAAGAGTCTCGGCTAGTAGACTATAGTTGAGTCATTACGTCACATCTGTTACACATAGAGAAGAGTCTCGGCTAGTAGACTATATTGAGTCATTAGTTACATCACATCTGTACACATAAAGAAGAGTCTCGGCTAGTAGACTATATTGAGTCATTACGTCACATCTGTACACATAAAGTAGAGTCTCTGCTAGTAGACTATATTGAGTCATTATGTCACATCTGTACACAAAGTAGAGTCTCGGCTAGTAGACTATATTGAGTCATTACGTCACATCTGTACACATAAAGAAGAGTCTCGGCTAGTAGACTATATTGAGTCATTACGTCACATCTGTACACATAGAGAAGAGTCTCGGCTAGTAGACTATATTGAGTCATTAGTTACATCACATCTGTACAGATAAAGAAGAGTCTCGGCTAGTAGACTATATTGAGTCAGTACGTCACATCTGTACACATAAAGAAGAGTCTCGGCTAGTAGACTATATTGGGTCATTACGTCACATCTGTACACATAGAGAAGGAGTCTCAGCTAGCATAAGCTATATTGTGTGTGAGGATGCTGGAGGTGGAGATTTATAGCCTTTGATATAATTACAGCACTTGATATAATTAAACTTATTTAACTTATCGCAGACTTCGTTCGGACTTCAGAGTGGCTACAGAAAAAAAGAGACTGCAACCGGACCCATGCTAAACTAAGATAAATAACGAAAGGACATTACATGTAGTCACGCAATGCTTGCTTACGTTGTTAACATAAACAATTTGAGAACAAAGTATGATTTGCGATTTTTAGATTTAATCAGCGCTATTTACTGCAATGTCAGAACCAGAACAAAAGTGGATGTTACTATTTTGATGATATTAGTAAAAATTCTTATGTTGGTCTGTCATACTTCCAAAAGGCATAATCTGCGATTGCAAATGACAATATCCACATCGGCGCGGTGACTGACAGCTGCACACTCTCCTCAAACATTGTGTTCATCCACGCTGTCGAGTCGAACTACAACTCACGTAGAGTTATTAATTCCCGCGAATGACTGCAATTGCAAATTTCAAACAGAGGTGCCGACAAAGAGGAAAAACTGCGGACTGTGGCTTTTTAAATCTGAATGAGGGTTTGCACAGGACTACTGAACATCTGAAAAACACAAACCTAAAAAAAGTTTGTCTCTGAGAGCATCTCAACAAAGAAAAATGGTAATATTTAATCTTCCTTAGCTATTTTTGCAGTAAAATTACTTACACTAACACTAAACTACATTAACAATGAAATATTGGCAAGAATCCCCTGTGATTTACCTATAAAAATACCAAAAAAAACAATGACTAAACTATTTGGCTGCATGGCATTTGTGATTTTTCTCGGAATAACATGCACAGATGAATCATAAACACTGAGATCAGGAACATTTGAAGAAAATAAAACTTTTAGCCAATTTTTATTTCAAGTTGACTTTAAAAAACAAAGACTGGGTCATCGGTGTCTTAACACAAATGGATTTGGTTTCTAAATCAAGAATCACACAATTTAGTACCAATTACGGTCGGGAGAAATATTAAACAAGTTAGTTTTCATACGATTAGAACAAATACACGTTTATGTGGAACTAGAAGAAAATATTCATTAAGACGCAATGTTTAAAAAACATTGTTAAAGAGATAATCCACCCAAAAATGAAAATAGTCATAATTTACTCACCCTCAAGTTGTTGCAAACCTGTATGAGTTGCTCTCTCCTGTTGAACACAAAAGAAGATATTTTGAAGAATGTTGGTAATAAAACATCTGACAGACTCCATTGACTTCCATAGTAGGAAAATAAATACTATTAAAGTCAATGAACATTCTTCAAAATATCTTCTTTTGGGTTCAGCAGAAGAGAGAAACTCACACAGGTTTGGAACAACTTGAGGGCGAGTAAATGAAGACATGATTTTCATTTTTGGGTGAACTATCCCTTTAAGACAAAGATGAAGACTAAAACTTTTAAGACTTAGATACTTGCTACAAATTGAAAAGTTAGAAGCTGATATTCCAGAACACAAACCAGTGCAATAAACATCAACAAAACACATGACGAATGAGGTAATAGGGCTCTCTTTTAATTCATCTGCTCATTAGGTGTCCTTGCTTACCGCCACCAAGATCTTGAGTGTGAATGAACAGTGCGTTAGTGGTTGGTGTGAAGAATGAATTAAATTGGTAAAAACCTGTTGCCATGAGCCAAAAATACTGGATGTGAAAGCCAGTGATTTGGGGGAGACTGGGGAGGAAGTTATTTGGTCCCCTGATCTGCGTCTTCGACGCCCAGTACCAACACCACCACAGGTGTAATGAATCCAGGTACCTATAGAGTCAGGGCTAGACACACTCAGGGGGCTCTCTTCCTGGAAGTGAGACAGGGGGCAGAAACAGCACAGTCATGCAACGTTAACAACAGTCCGGCTACGTGTCCACCAACATTCACCACATGAAGGCTTTACTTAAGAAGAGACGGAAAGCTATATGTGCGCTCATACTTTGCCAGCAGGCGTCTTGAAAAAGTCTGTCTGCGTTGGGGACTAAAACAGAAAACAAAAAAGAGAGAGTTGCAACATAGCCCTTTAAAAGTTTATTTTCTGTATAGACAAGGGAATGTGCGATTCAACTACATGTCATGTCTTTTTGTCTACATTTTTTTTTTCATGGAAACGAATCTTACATCTCAAACTAAAAAGTCAATAGGGTTTTAGGCTAAAATTATACACACCTGTCTATTTGAAGTGCTTTTCTAAAATTATGTGATAAACACAAACCACCATCTTACTCTAAAATAGCTATGTAGATAATTTCTATATTCAATACTTTTTTTGATCAAATACATAACTTTTCCATTTTTGGGATGCATCAATTTGTTTTTTATATCTCATTTCGCAAAGGATCATCCATGGCTAGGTTGGCATTACATGGTTTTAATGCAGGCCATGGGTGTGTGTGACCTTTATAGAACGGTGATTAAAGGGATAGTTCACTTTGAAATTAATTTTTGACATGTTTTAGCTTACCTCAAGGGCATCCAAGATGTAGGTCTCTTTGTTTCCACAGTATTTTCAAGGGAAAGTGATCTGAAGGCATGGGCGCTTCGGTCTGCGCAAGCGCTGGAAAGCCCCTGAAGTTATCTCTCACGCATGTAAATCACTCATTGTTTACACAGAGATTTCAGAAATATTACCCTTCACTGTGAATATCTAAACATATTTAGACATACAGGAAATTGCAATGGAAGACGATTTCGATATATCAACAGGCAACGTTGATTTCACTTCAAGAGATCACTTCCGGCGCTTGCACAGACCGAAGCGCGCGCCTTCAGATCACTTGGACGTGGCTGTGGTCACAAGAGGTAAAAATTATAGAAATACTGTTCGTTTTCTCACACAAACCACTCGTTTATTGTCTTAGGCCATCAATGTGTACTTATATTTACGAGTCATTAAATCATGTTTAATTTGGACTTCTCTGTGGATGCTCTTTGAGGTGGTGACCATAGACCTGCATTATATGACTGACTGACAAGAACGGTTTGAAAAATATGAAAATAGAAGCCTTAAAATATCAAAATTGAAAATTCTGTGGAAACAAAGACACCTACATCTTGGATGCCCTTGAGGTAAGCTAAAACATATCAAAAATTAATTTCAAAGTGAACTATCCCTTTAAACTGGAACTACCTGTGCATAAAACGGGTGGAACACCTTCCAGACAATCATGAGTATTCAGGCAGACCATGATATAATGATGGCAATAAATCATATTTTTTACAGAAGCAAGGGTTGTAATTATTTTGTTATTTAGTGTATTAATTTGGCAAGAGATGGACATTAGAAGGAAAAATGAAGTTTTAGAAATATACAGGTGAAATTTCATTTAGGCAAAAATAATGGGCCTAAAAAAAAGAAAACCACCACCATTCTTTTGATTTGCATAGATATCTTGAAATACACTATAATGCAATACATAAAGGTACACTATTGTAACTTTTGGCCCTCTATTGGTTAAAAAACAAAACTGCATGCCTGTGACTGTGCGGATGAATATGATTATGGGCAGCCAACTTTACTCTATAGACCATTTTGCAAGATGTAAACAACACTGGTCCAGAAACACTTCCTGTTTCAGTTTGTAACTGTTTTCTTTATTTCACATGTAAAGAAAACATCTTAAAGACTTTTTGATTCACTTTTAAAGGTTCTGTTGGTTGTATTTTATCCCAGCTTTTATGTAGTGTTAAAAAACTAAAACAGGAAGTGCTCCTGGACCAGCGTTGTTTACATCTTGCAAAATGGTCTATTTACGGATATGACGAGACACACATAGGTGCAATATCCTGCGAAAACCATCCTGTCAGGACTAAAATAGAAATATTATAAAAGGCCTACCATAGTAAATCAGGGTAAGACAAAAACACATTTTGTAAGAAGGTTTGATGATGCATTAACTCATTTTGAACAAAACAAAGTTAGATAGTGTACCTTTAACATGCAACTGTACAACATTCCTAGAACAACAACATATGCAAGTCATTCACTCCCATTTTGAGCCAGCTTATATGCTTTAAAATGATGAACTGAACTGATGAAAACAAAATACAAAAACATCAACCCGTTTCCTAAAAAACAAATTCAATGGAAAGAAACTGAGAATGAAAAGAAGACTTTGGCACAGTCATTACATTAAGGACAGGTAAAGGCGCATTGACGTGAAGAGAGACGCAGTTGAAATTGATGAAAATCAAACACAATTTTTCCACACTACTGTATGATGTGAATGTCACCGCAATGGGGAAAAATGTAAGATACATAAAATTCATTATGCACAGTACATACACTATGAGACAAAAGTTTGGAAACACTGAATTTGTTTCTTGCGATCTTAAAAAGTCTAAATACATTATTGTACATAAACTCATAAACAGAATTTTTCTGGGTGTTTGAGTGACTGTGTGTGGGCGTTTGCTGCAATGAAGGCAGAGTATTCATTTCGAACGTTGATTAAATGGTGATTCCATTATAAACAACATTTTCTAAAATGTTAAAGCAACACTAAAGAACTTTTATTCTATGGTCACCCTACAGGTTGGAATTGTCCATTACCGCTGTCGTAAATAATTGAGCCTACCGCATCCTACTGTTGCACACACGTTCGCTGTTTATCCACAGACAAGGTAGAGTATGTTGCATGATTTCATGAAAGTATGATGTATTGCCACATCAGAAACGAAGAAAAACAAAATAATGACTATTGTAACGCTTGACGTAAAGCAAGTCAAATTTGTAGTTTTCTTATGTCTCATTAGAACTACAGAAATGCGACTCGATCTGCCAATCTTGCATAGCATGGATATATCTGATATAGGGCTGCAAAGCAGAGGCATAAGTGCATTTCTCCCTGTTACTACTTAATGAACCACTAATACGATTTTGGAAACATAATTTTAAGGTAAAAAATGTTCTTTAGTGTTGCTTTAACAGAGATTTTTGTGTCGCACATCATAGAAGACAATGTTAGCATCTGTTAGCAATGGTTCATTTTCTTCTGGGTTTACAATCTATATTATCTTAACATCAGGATGTAACATTTTACAGCGCTATAGTACATTGATGATGCAGAACTATGAATGAATCGTGGCCTTGACAAGACTCTGTCTTTATATTATACATATATATATGCTAAATATAAAAACAACAAAAGTGCTTTGTCACACTACATTCGGATGGATTGTTTCACTTAAATTTGCAGTAAAAGGTTCGAGCTCTGTGTAGATAAGCCTTAACTCATGCATTAATAATTGTCTCTGTCAAAGCTAAGCTTCTATGTACAATTTACATATGCATGGAAGAATAGTGATAAATTGGAAATTACTAGAAGAAAGGTTTTTAGTGACCCTTTATAATGATAACATATAATAACTTACTTCCACAGAGCCAATCTTTTTGGAACGGGGAAGAGGGGACTTGCGGTGGATGTAAATGGGATCCGACACCATGGGGCGGAACATCATCAGGGCTCGATCCGGCTCGTCCCGCTTGGCACCAGCGGCCTCCTCGTCACTGTCATTATGGGATTTCTTCTTGGAGCCCTCATTCTACAGAGACATCAAACATTCAAGATTCACTGACAGAGACTGAGAAACACTGCAAATACAGACATTTAACAGTACATCAATAGCAACTATCAATTGAGATGAAATGTTTCTTGTATCACCAATTTTTTCCCAACCTCAGCAAAAGGAAATATGCAGAATAGCAGAAAAAAAAAAAAGATTTCTAACATTCAAGACAATAGTCATCAGTCTCAGCAAACCTCTCTGGATGCTGGTCTGTATCCAAACCCAGATGGCAGGTTTTTATCTTCTTCGCAGCCTTTAGCTCCTGGACTGAAATGAAGCTCCACATGGAAACGGTCCTCTGATGAAGGATCCTACACATACAAAGACCATTTTGCAAGATGTAAACGAACCTGGTCCAGAAGCACTTCCTGTTTCAGTTTTTTAACACTACATAAAAGCTGGGATAAAATACAACCAACAGAATATTTAAAACTGAATCAAAAAGTTCAACAAACATCTTTAAGATTTTTTCTTTACATGTGAAATAATGAAAACAGTTACAAACTGAAACAGGAAGTGTTTCTGGACCAGTGTTGTTCACATCCTTGTACATCATACATACTGTATATATGTTATGTTATATATATATACGTAGCATGACATTTTAAGGGCCAGATTTTCTTAATAGGGCAAATTTGCGTTAGAGCTCAACCCCATAAAAACGTAGAATTCCTGAAGTTCTGCTTGTGATCTACTGACGACTTGCAAATTAAAGAATACAGACGCATCCGGATCATTTCCATAACACACAATCTACCAAGAGCAGCGTAAACTAGCGTCTAGTTTAAGACAAGCTTTTTTTGGGTGTTAAACAATGGAGAAAATACCAGTAAATAGCGCAAACCTTTAAATCACCAAGCATGATTCATTCAAATATTTCCACACATTTATATTGGGTCTGAAAGGGAAACTCCTGTAAATCCTTATGTAATAATTACAGCCAGAAAAATAACCCTGTCCACTCCTTCTCAGCGCTAATCTTCCACTGCGTGTCTTCCCAAAAGTAGTCATTTTTAATGCCAAAAAAGGGTTTAAGCTGTAAATCTGGTACGCAAGACTGTACCACAAGTTTTGTGCGCTCAAATTATGATCTTACACGTGCAGAATTATGCCAAAATCATTCTATACATTTCAAAACACAGAAAAACAAAAGTATTTTACTTTATATTTCTACCATTTAAAAGTATTGCATGTGACGTCCTCGTACCTTGTTTGGGTCTTCATAGAGCATGATGACTATCTGTGTCATGTAGTTCAGCTCACTGACGATTTTAAGGTAATCCATGGCTCTCCTCCATTGGTCATCTTTGGCCTCCTGAGGATACAGCGAAAACAATTCCTTTGAGCAGAAATACATTTTGCATGGTATAGCCAAAAAATGGCAGAATATTACAATGTACTGATTACATTCACATTACATGTTTATATGAAAGCTGATATAACTGAAGACATACATCACAGAGGGCGCCGTAACGCAGGATAGACAGCAGTGAGTGTACGTGACTCTCACTGGTGAAGTAAAGTCTGGTCCGCACATGGCGTTCAGGAGACATGACTCCCCGGGAATATCTGTGGAGAAAAGAAAAATCAACTACACTTATAATTCAGTTAATTCACTTTAATTAACTGCCAACTATTAATACATTGATACATTAAACGGGTCATGACATACAGGTTTTTATTTTATTTATCGCTCTTTGGGGTCAACTTATAATGTAAGTTTTATGCACCAAAAATAGAAATTTGTTATTATCTGTCCATTTTTCACAATGTCTTTGACCACAGGAATGATGCTTGGTTTTTGTGCCATTTCTTTTCATTATTTCAACGTTAATGGCCATGACTGGCTAACACCTCCCACTATGATGCAAGCAAAGCCATTTTGAAAACTCTGCATGATGTGCTGGATGTACTCTATGTGCATTGATCACAGTTCATATAAAAAGCTAGTTTTTCTGTTGTTCAACAGATGGACAAAAACGATGAGTGAATATTTAAAACAAATCTTTGTGTTGCAAAAATTAACTCAACTTTTATGGGTTTGGAAAGACATGGGTAGGGCCCTATGAAATCCGTTTTATTGTTTCCCAAATTCCATTTTTTCCATTTTAATTTTTGGGAATTAGGTTTTTTTTTACCCTTGACTGTTATTTTAGTCGTAAAAAAAGTATGCTTTTAAAGTTAATGATTAAAATGTATTAAAAAATAAAAATACATTAGGAATGACCTTAAATTTATTGAGGTAATACAGACATTTACTCAGGAGCCTTTTCAGGACAAATAACTGCATGATGCAACATAACACTGCACTCTTCAAGTAACAACAAAATATGGTTATGAGCTTTAAACTGTAATATAAATTATATTAGTTCATATAAGTTTAAATAAAGTCACACTCTGTCTCTCACGGAGTTCGCTTCGCTTTCGTCCAGTCCGCCGCCTCATAGACAGACGCGGTGTGCACGTTGTGTATGTGTGTGTGTGTGTGAGAGAGCGGGGAAATACAACTGAAAGAATACGCTGCCTGCGTGTTTTAAATACTGTTAAAAACCGAAACGCAGTATGTGCCGGCGAATTAGTCAATGTGTGGGAAACACTGCATAAGTCACGTGCGAACTGCTCGGCTCGGCACTGACTACTTAAAGCGTCGGGTTTCTTAACTTTTAGTCAACGAAAGCAGAGCCGCGAAGAGCCGCTTCGCCATTGCTTTCATTGTTTTGATTTCATCATTGGAGCTGAAATGACGGGTTGAGGGGTTTGTGTCGCCCAGATTTGCTTCCCCTGGTCTGCATTTTCACCAGATATGCGTTCATCTCCCACACAAAAACAGAATTTCAAACCAAATACAGTATGTCAAAATCCACAAAATTCCGCGTTAACACTAGATTCCGCGTTAATTGGCCAATTCCGCGATTCCGTCCGTGATTTCGTTATCGCGGAAATCATAGGGCCCTACATGGGTGATTAAATGACAGAATTGTTATTTTTAGGTGAACTATCCCTTTAAGTTTTTACATGCGCAATGAATGTCATAAGAGAATTGTATTCCACATGCTTCAGTTCTTGAACTGTGTATTGGCTAGTTCTCTTTTATGAGTGTTATATTCTCAGACTATATCTTACACTGGGTGCAGTTTATTCACAGTGTCATCATCCTGGGTCCTCTGTAGGTCAGAGCGGATCTTGCGAATTAGAGGTGTACAGTAACCTTTGGCTATGTCCAGTTTCTCAGGCTGAGAAATACCATATTCCTGACAAGAGAAAACAAGGACAATTTCAAGAAAATATTCAAACAGTGCCATATACTGTAAATATAGCAGCTCTCATAATTCACTTCATTGATTTTTGATTAAAAGCAAAATTGCCTTTTACCTGTGGGATGACAATGTCAGCCAGTGCTTTGGATAAGCGGTAAATTTCCATAGTGTGGTCAAGCTTTAATGAGCTGTTGTGCTGCACATCATATTTGATGCAGTCGTAGATATCAGGTATCTTGCTGATGTTGTACCGGCCATTCTTCATCTTGAAATCCTTCTCGAGTTTAGACCATCGACGCAGCATCAGCTCAAGAGTCTCACTGTGGTACAACTGGATATCTGATTAAAAAAATACACAACCACACTCAACCAACACACCCTCTCGCTCCAAAACCCTGTCCGCCAAATGTATGTCAGGCAACCTGATGTTAGCTGTAGAAACAGCACTTAAGAGATTTGGTATTAAAAAACGAAATAAATAAAATTGGGTTTAAAGGGATAGTTCACTTTGAAATTAATTTTTTGATATGTTTTATCTTACCTCAAGGGCATCCAAGATGTAGGTGTCTTTGTTTCCACAGTATTTGCAATTTTGACATTTTTCGGTCAAACCGTTGTTGTCTGTCAGTCAACTAATGCAGGTTTAGGGGGTCCACCTCAAAGAGCATGCACAGAGAAGTCCAAATTAAACATGATTTAATGACTCGTGAATGTAAGTACGCAATGATGGCCTAAGACACGAAATGAGCGGTGTGTGTGAGAAAACGAACAGTATTTATATCGTTTTTACCTCTTGTTAACAGCCATGTTGAACTGATCTGAATAAGATGTCCAACTGAACCGAACTGAACCGTGTCCAATGTTACACCAGAAGTGATCTCTCGCGCGTCTACGTCACACATTATTTACATGGAGATTTCGGAAGTTTTACCTTTCACTAAAGATATTTAGATACATCGAAACCGTCTTCCATTCCAATTTCCCGTATATCTAAATATGTTTTGTGAAAAGTAAAACTTCCGAAATATCTATGTAAACAATGCGTGACGTAGACGGGCGAGAGATCACTTCAGGCGTAACGTTGGACACGGTTCAGTTTGGTTCAGTTGGACATCTGATTCAGATCAGTTCAACATGGCTGTTAACAAGAGGTAAAAACTATATAAATACTGTTCGTTTTCTCACACAAACTGCTCGTTTTGTGTCTTAGGCCATCAATGTGTACTTACATTTACGAGTCATTAAATCATGTTTAATTTGGACTTCTCTGTGCATGCTCTTTGACGTGGACCCCCTATACTTGCATTATATGACTGATAGACAACAACGGTTTGACCGAAAAATGTCAAAATTGAAAATACTGTGGAAACAAAGACACCTACATCTTGGATGCCCTTGAGGTAAGCTAAAACATATCAAAAATTAATTTCAAAGTGAACTACCCCTTTAACATCATACCTAATGACATCAATACAATATTGATGTACATGCATCTAAATATCTCACATTAAATCTCATATTTGTATTTATGTTGGTTTCAAACATTTTACAAAAACCATTGAGACAATCAGATCAATAATTATAAATTAAAATAATAATAAACTGAGCAATTCCAATAGGGTCCTCACACCATCGGTGCTCAGGCCCTAAAAAAACCTTATAAACAACATTAATACTTAAAATCAGGTAAATTCAATGAACTACAATGCAGAATCAGAAATTTTGATCATTCTCACAGGTATGTCTGAAATGCATTTGTAATATTTCTTTGAATTAGCCCAGTAACACTGCAGTCATTGAAGTTTGTTTATACATCATGTCTACAAATGATGTACCATTAAATATTTGTAAGTGCAGCATTTGAAACGTGTACCTGCTGATTTGGGGTCTTCCATCCTCTGGCGGACCTGCAGCGTTAGGCTCTGAATGAGGGAGTACACCTTATCACAGGTCTTCACAGGGTTTTTGATCATCTGCATGGACTTCACAAGGGATGTGCTGGAGGTGGGCGCCAGCTGGTCCACAAATAAAACACACACCATCACCACTCACAGCAACAGAGAAAAGCTCAGGCTATTTACACAAGGTGTTCATTTCCTCTTCTTCACGAGGTGTAAATAACAGTATTTTCTTTGCACTGAGTGTAAATAGTTGTTAGATGCCATCTATAGTGGCAGATACAGTGTATTTGCTGTACATTATAAAACAGTACGCAATAACAACATATTCAATGCATAAGATTACATTTGTTAAAACCATAAATAAATGCTGCCTTATTGGGACATTACTTGTCCCTGTCCCTAAACCTACCCGATATACCCATTTTTTCCCATTATTAAATAACCGTTAGGCAATTTACTTATTTCAAACTCGGGTCTAACACCGTCGTCTTACTTTTCACAATACTGATCTTGTTAACAGATGGGTTTCTTTAGTCATTTTGTCTGGCTCCATCAGACATTTGAGGGTGGAGGAATTTGCATTAAAAATTGGATAAATTCTACAACATCTTTCAGTGGCAAATTCACAGTTGCATCAGTTTTAATTAGGTCAAGGGCCTAATGACAACTACTCAAAAGCAAAAAGATGAACAACACAGTTCAATTCTTTACAGACCAATAGAAATGTCCTACATTTCAAATCTATTAAGCGACCTTGTCAAGCGAAATATGATTATCCCTTACCTTCTCGAAGTCTTCTGGCGTGAAGTCTCTGTCCTTCTGCAGGATCTCATGAAGTCGTGCTTTGACTTTCTGCTGGCAACTGCTTAAGGAGTCGCTGTCACTGTCCAGCAGGCCGTTCATATTGGCACTTTTCACCATCTGAACCAGGATGGGCGTCAGCTCTCCCTCTAACGCCAGCAGGCCCTGAGGATACCACACACACACACACACACACGTCCCGTCGTTTATAAGAGGAATAATGGTAACACTTTACAATAAGGTTTGTTAGTTAACTACATTACTTAACATTAACAAAGATAAAAAATTAGGTCATGTTAATTTCAACATTTACTAATACTTTATTAAAATCTTGTTAACATTAGTTAATGTACTGTGAAATAACAGCTGTATTTGTATTAACTAACATTAAGAAAGATTAACAGGCGAGAAAATGAGAAAATTATGGGAGTAGAGATGGACTTTTCATTCACTACTATACATCTAGGTAAAATATCGGGTAATGTTTTAGACAAGGATAAATATTTACTAAAAATATTGTTAGCAAGCTGTAGGAAAGCAATAACCCGTAAATGGTTGCAGGTGGACCCTCCAAATAAGGATCAATGGCTAGGGATTGTAAACGAAATATACAGTATGGAGAGGCTTTGGGAAAAATGGATTATGCATGTAAACCATTGAGTGTGATATTATATATCAAGATGTTGGAATTATTTTGTGATACTGTCTGATATTTTAACATCCATGATAACTTTTGTATTCTTTGTTCCAATAAAAAAAAAAGTAAAAAAAAAAAGAAAGATTAACAAATACTGTAACAAATGCTCATTGTTAGTTCAAGTTAGTTAATACATTAGCTAAAATTAACTAATTAACCTTATTGTAAAGTGTTAAAGAAATATGTTTTAATTCAGCTGCCAAAATAAACATTAAAGCATGCGATTAAAAAATCTTTAAAACAATTTATGCTTTTAACAACAATTTAACATTATAAGATTAAATCTGAAGTTTTAATGTTACTTTTGCAAACGCTGCGGCAGTCATCTGAACGCGTCCCTCATCAGAGGCGTATATCTTCAGGTCGTGCCTGTATGTGCTGTGCAGACGGAGAAGCCCACAGCCAGGGAAGCCAGCGTAGTCACCTGAGACGCAGGAGGAAAACCATAAAAAACAAGAGGCGGACGGAACAGGGGCAGTGTGTGTGTGTGTGTGTGAAGTACCTTGTCCTCCAGGGTACATACACCTAAAGGCCCGACCGAGCTCTTCGGCCTGAACCCTGCCAGCTGGAGTCAACTCGCCACCCCACTTCAAGACCAGCAACAGTGATGGGTCATCCCTCCGCACATCTCAACAAACACACACACACACACAATCAATATCAAATCTCTTTTATCACATTTAGTTTTAAAGTCCCCCTGTAGTCGATAATTTCATCCCTTAAAACTCATCTTTGATCACCAAAATGACATATTTAAAAACCTTTCCTTGAAAAAAAAAATGATTCATGACATGTATTGAATGAAACTCGACACCCATGCCACATTTAGTATGAGCGGTTCTATGAATATGCAAATGAGCCCCGTCTCCACTCACTCACTCAGCTCAGAGTTCCACTGGTCAATGATCACACATTGATCTGATTGGTTACAAGGTAGTTTGTGACGTTAGAAACACCGGCAATTTCAAACCGTGTTTTTGAGACTGTCTTTGGTTCACTGCAGTTTTTAGTTCAATTTTAAGTTAACATACCAGATACAAATCAAAGCTCACTGAATAAGAAATAAGAAATAAATGAATAAGAAATTACAGAGAGAGGGAGGGTTCACTGCAGTTTTAAGGAGAAAATACTCAGCAATGCTGTCGACAGATGAATTTACAGTACACATAGTTTGTCTTAGAGTACGTTAAAAACACCACATAGACTTATAAACAACATTAAAAGCTTGATTTTCACTACAGGGGGCTTTAATAAAATGTAACTGATCTTACACATGCATAAAACTAATGTAAACAGATGGAAGGTCTAAGAAACGGCCTGAAAATGAATTAAAACCAGCCAAAAGCTTGCTTGTGCAAGACCATCGTTACCTTCCTCTTCACTGGACGTTTTAGGGCAACCATGTGGCAGATATGTTAATTGAACCTTGCGATTAATGCCAGAGAAATGGCCGTACCTAAACAAACAGAATGAGATATTAGAAACAGGACTGAAATATAGCTGTATGTATATTTAAATGTAACGGGGCCAAGCGTGACAAAATCATAAGTGGCATAAAACTAGGCTTGATACAGTAGCATCCCTAGAAAAGTGGTTCAAAAAACACAAAAGCTGCCATCAGATTGATACACAGTATCTTGTAAATGAGTTTTATGGAGTTCTTGCCATCAAATCAATAATGCTTTGCTTTACATGTGAAAGGTTTGGTATAACAAAATTTTTTACTAGCATGGTCCGAATATGATCTAAAGGCGATACTAAATTGAATGGACACTGTAGTATTCGTTTGATAAAAAAATCAAAATAGAGAAATCTGTGTCTTCAAACATTTCAAACCCAATGTTGACATGCCATTTAATGAGAAGATTCAGCCTGAAATAAAAATCCTTCAAAACATTTACTCACCCTCATGTCATTCAAAACCTTATGCCTTTCACTCTTGTGGAAAACGAACAGACACAATACGTGTCTCAACAGCTGTGTTGCTTGGCCCCTACTAATAAACTTACAGGAAGACTTACATTTCGAGGACTGTTTTCAGCTGTTCAAGCTTTGCTTTACTCTCCTCAATTTCTGAATCGTTATTTTGGCCCAGTTCTACCAACAGCTGTCTGGCAATGTCCAAGACTTCCTGTTCAATTCAATCAAATATAACTTATTATATTGAAATGAATGCTTTAGATATAAGTGGTGAATACTATTCCTTATTCATTGCTAAATCAAAAATGTATTTACTTGGAGTTGCTTTGGCTTTTTCAGTTTCAGTTTCCCACTTTTGTAACCGTCACATTTTTCAAAGAGGTCAAAAAATCTGAAAGACACAAAATGAGAAATTAACAAAGCACAGGCTTTAGCTAATGCCTGGTTCAGATAACACGATTTTAACCCGATTTTGGCAAGATCCGTTTGACGTAGCGCATCGTGGGGATTCGTAAACGAAAACGTTTACGTTTCATCGGGAAGCAAGATTCGATCGTATCATCTCGTATAGTGTGTCATAGTGGGCGACAACCTAAATCGCGTCTGTGATGCTTCACGACATCACGACAAAAAGACTAGCATGTTTAATTTTTTTAACGGTCGCCCATGATGGTTCCGACACATGTAATGTATGAGGTTGACCAATAGGAGCACAGAAGCTTTTCCGTACACAACTTTCAAAAATGGCGAAACGAAAGAGACGATGGTGCTAACGTTAAAACTAAAAGTAAAAATATATAAGAAAACAATATTTTACCTCAAGTTATCTTTGGAGGATTGACAGCCCATACTGTCCTCTTCGGGTTTTCTTTCTTTTTTTACTTTTTTCTGAACACAGGACAGCCAAAACAACACTCACTGCGTCATCCATTGCTTGTTTACGTTCGTTTCCGGAAATCACTCGCTACTAGTTTCGCCTTCTCGATGACATCAGGTGCGTCGTTAAAGGGATACTCCACTTTTTTTGGAAATAGGCTCATTTTACCACTCCCCCAGAGTTAAACAGTTGAGTTTTACCGTTTTTGAATGTATTCAGACGATTTTTTGATATTTAGGAGAATATCAGTTACGAGAAAGTTTCTGGTCTCATCGACTTCCATAGTATATTTTTTCCTACAATGGAAGTCAATGAGACCAGAAACTGTCTGGTTACTGATATTCTTAATCGAATATCAAAAAATTGGCTGAATGGATTCAAAAACGGTAAAACTCAACTGTTTAACTCTGGGGGAGTGGTAAAATGAGCCTATTTACAAAAAAAAGTGGAGTATCCCTTTAAAGACAGCACGCGATCACTGGTCAGGAAGCAACGTGTGGTCTGACAGTGTCTTGTCCACGACACGACAAGATTTTAGGAGTTAAAATCGCGTAATCTGACACAGCGACTATCGTAACAGATAAAAAAATTGTGTAATCTGAACCAGGCATGAGCATACCATCACTTTAACTTCATATTCAGTGCATGATGAAGACTGCTTACTGACAGTAGATCTGAAATGTTGGTACCTCTGATGTCGAACTTCCATTTTCATCTTCTGTTTGGGAGTTCTGTCACCATGTCGAATCACAGCGATCACACACCTCAACTCCATCCTGAAAGTCACACAGCAGCACTTGAAAGGATATTTGTTTTGAGCTTATGCAGAAAAAAAGATATAAATCAATACATCAGCATTGATATAGATTCATGTGTGTTAAAGGAACAATTTTCCCGAAACATTCAAATTTCTGTCACCATTTTCTCACTGTTATTCCAAATCTATTTAACTGACTTTCTTCTGCTCAACACAAACATCGACAATTGAATAAATATCAAGTTTGGTGAAATCCATTCAATAGCTGTATGTGTGTGTGTCACTAACACTTAAATCATTTACTCACCCTAATTTTAATCCAAAATCATAAGACTTTTGTTCATCTTTGAAATCGTACATATTTTTGAATGGCATCTAAGAGAAACGTAACGTAAACGAATCAGTATGAATTGAGCGGTTTAGTCTAAGACACAAATTCTTCATATGACGAACATACATATAAATATTGATCGATGCACATAAACTGCAGATTGGATAAGCGAAACAGAGGCTTGAGAAAACCTGGATTAAACCTCTTCATCCACATGGATTCCTTTTACAATCTTTATGAACTTTTTGAAGCGTCAAAGTTTTAGTGAATGGACTTGGTCAATAAACGGACAGAAATCTCTCAGATGTAATTAAAAGTATCTTAATTTGTGTTTCAAAGATGAACGTCTTATAGTTTGGATTGGAACGACATGAGAGTGAGTAAATGTGAGCAAGTTCACAATTAAAATGTTTGGTTGAACTAACTCAACAAAGCACCCGTTAATGAAGTTGGTTTTGGTGAAAACCGAAGGAAGTCATGTGAGTTTGGGACCCCATGAGGATGAGTTAAGGACAATTTAATTTTTGGCTGAACCATTCCTTAAATAACGTAATAGAAAAAGCAGGACAAGCTGAGATACTAATGGCATTGTTGATGTAATCATCAGAATAGTGATGTTCATATCTGCTTGTAAGGACATACATCGTTCCAGAGGTTGTGGGAACTATGGGAATGTCCTCTGCTTCTAAAGGTATAGACCACGGGATCTGAAACTGTGGAGCCAATTCTCTCATGATGATATTCCTGTTGTGCAAAAGGAAAATAGTACTTGACTCAATTGAGTTTAAACAAATACACTAGTATAAATACATGTTGATAATTCATGAACCATAGTGTAATCATCTGATTATAATAAAATTGTAGCAAAAAAAATATAAAACAAAAACTTTTTTAGAACAGACAATGAAGAAAATAAAAGTTTGTATCCGTGTATCTAATCACCTTGCTCTAAAGTATATTAAAAATGAGAAGAGATCTTGGACGGGTTTGTATGATGTACTGACCCCAGGATTTTAGCACAGTCGTCGTAGTACTTCATGGAGTTCTTGACGAAACTGAAGCCATTGACATCACAGACGTAAGACTGGCCATTGGCTCGGAGCAGGTCGAAGCCACACACTGTTTGCTACCAATGAGAACACATTTCAGTTTACACTGGCACATCGAGACAATCCATTCATTAGCATTTATATGTCCTGTAAATGCTCCACTCAACACTCAACAAATTTTCACATATTCAAACTTGTATTATGCAAGTGTTTAAGACGCATTTCACACAGGAACACATTTCTTTGATTCATCACTGTTTTGCTGCTAAAAGCTATGACCGATTGTCCCAGACGACCATATATTTATTGAGTATGTATGTAGCTGTGAACTAATGCACATAATGTACAGTACAGCTAATGTACATGAAAAAGACCTGAGCACTTTGCCACAACACATTATCTCTTACATATTTAACATATATGCACATAAAAAAGACTTTTTGTCACTTTTAGCAATAGGAATATTATATAGAGGGCAGAAAATGACAAGAAACTTCTACAAGAAGCAATTACACATTTTGGAGGATTTACCTTGAAAGCCAAACAGACTTTCCATGCGATGAGTTTTTCTCTGGCGTTGAGGATGACTGGATAACGGACTTCTTTCCCCTCGCTGTCTCGTTCCACCTTGCCATCCAGAGCAGGGGATTTACGGGCCTCTGCGTGGGCGTAGTCGGGCCCTACAGTGTACACCTGATGCCGACACACAGAGGAAATGTTTCATTCATCAATGGATCAGTGTACACTCATCTAAAGGATTATTAGGAACACCTGTTTAATTTCTCATTGATGCAATTATCTAATCAACCAATCACATGGCAGTTGCTTCAAAGCATTAAGGGGTGTGGTCCTAGTCAAGACAATCTCCAGGGGCCGTATTCACAAATAATGTTACCTTACCACTAGGAGTACTCCTAAATCGCACTAAAATATTTTAGCTAGGAGATTTCTCTTAAAGGGGGGGTTGATTGCAATTTCACTTTTTTCATTTTAAATAGTGTGTAATGTTGCTGTTGGTGCATGAACAGTATCTGCAAAGTTGCAGCGCTGAAAGTTCAGTGTAAGCAGAGATATCGTCTTTTAAAAATCAGGAAGTATATTGCCTACAAAAACGACTCGATTGGGACTACAGCTGGGTTATGGTACGTCACTAACATTTGCACACATTTGCATCAACCACTCCCTCCGGAAAATGCAAAAAAGGGCATGATCATATTTCTGCGGCTCGTCAAGTGTGTTGTGTTCACCCAGCTGTCTGATCGTCTGTGTTCGAGCTTCCCACGGACGCTGTACTTCATCAAAAATGGATACAATTTATGTTTGATTATGTTCCTGAAAATGACGATCGTAATTTAGCTCTGTGTTGCGCATTTACGGAAGACAGCTTCCAGAATTTCCACGAATATAATGCCGGATTCAACAAGAAACTGTTACTAAAACATGAAGCGGTTCCAACTTCAAAACAAGAGGCAGCAGTTGTTGGGCCACAACCTGTAAGTAGGCTAAGACTTCATCATTTTAAATGTATTTGCATGTATAATTCCAGACGTAGCCTTGTGTTTTATTTTTTTCAAATACCAGCGCTGGCTTTATAGCCACTCGGCTACTAGTTATGCTATTTTGTGCCTACGACAAACGCGTACAAACATTATGGACCTGAATTTTGTATAATGTTTTACAAATATTTTTCATGTATATATGTTTTATGATGTTATTTTCGATTTGATCAAGACCGTAAACTAATGCAAAAGCTGTTATTGTTTAACATTAGTAGCCAGTCAGTTGCTATTGTGTTAAACAAACGTGTATAAAGTTAAAAATGTAGCAAAGTATCATTCAGAAACGTTTAGTAAGAGCCGTGTGTGGTGAGGTTCTGCTTGACTCGATTCATCGCGACTTTCTCGGTCTGCTTCTGCCTCAAACTGATACTGCAGTTCACACCATTATTTACATCTGAGCGCAGGCACGTTTCGCCCGTAAAGGTAATGGACGTGAAGTATCCGGACAAATGTGAGCGTCAGTTTAGCCAATCACCACACACCAGCCCAAACTAACCAATCTGAGCCCACTGCCTGTTTCTGAGGGAGTGGTTTCATAGAATCAGGAAGTGAACCGCTCGTTCGAGGACAGAGGAGAGCGCGGCTTACAATAAAGGTGAAGTTTATGAAAAATAAGACTTTTTAAAAAAGAAAAACCACGAACATATGTTATATTGCACCCCATAAACACAATCATGCAAAAAAAAAAGCAGTCAACCCCCCCTTTTAAAAGTTATTCACAACACCTTTCAGACCTACTCTTAGTAAGGAAAAATGACCACTCCTAAACTAAGAGTGAATCTTCGTTGTTATTGATGACGTCAATTCTCATGCACAAGCTTCCTCGCAATGATCACGGTGATTGGTTATTATGACAGGGCCATCATGCGGAACATAACACAGCGACAAATCATGGAATTACGACATCTAAATATGTCTGTGTCCTACACAAAATAATAATAAGAAAAAAAGTAATGTCATCGAAATGCATAGGCTATAATGACATGTTTGTGCAGGCCCCAATGAAGTGTAATTCTAAAAAGGCAGAGAGAGAAAAGTCATGAATGAAATTATTCAAGGCAGCCTAAGGGCCTGCAGTGTTCACATATCGTGTCTTTTGCACGCTCAAGTTCGTTATTTTAAATGCTTTTTCCAAGCACGTCCATATGGAGCGCACCGTAGGTCACGTGACAAGAACCAACCGGAGAATGCGGCGCGCCTTGCGTTTTTAGGCGCTATACTGTATGTGAATGGTGCCTAATACCCTAATGAAAACCTCCACTTGCCTAATAATGAAAAATGACACTTGCATTAACACTTGCTTGGTTAACTGACATTCTATTAGCCAAGACTACTTAAAGCAAGGAAATGTTGAATTAATGAAGTATTGAAGTAATGTAATAGTTGAATGAAGGTGGATTATGAACTCGAAAGCCCAACTGGACGCAGGATCAGTTACTGCTGCTGACCCAGTTGGTGCTAGAAAAATAAAAACAATAAAAGTGACATTCAGCACTGGGATATCAAGCTAAACTACACGAGAGACATTTGTTTGCGGATGAATGCAGCATTGTTGTGAAGCCCTGACGACTGCGAGAGGCGCTGGTATGTGCTACAATCCTTTGTGAATAGGTCTTAGTGAGTTAGGAGTCCTCTCGACTTCTTTTAAGCTGTCCCAGACTTAGGTGCTACTTTTAAGGCTAAAATGCTTCGTGAATTACTCTTAGTGAAAAAAATTAGGAGTCCTAAAATTAGGAGTGACAATTATTTTTAGGAGTTGCTCCTAAATGCGCCAGTTAGGAGCTACTTTTAGCCTTAAAATTCTTTGTGAATATGGCCCCTGAACTCCAAACTGAATGTCAAAATGGGAAAGAAAGTCAAAATGAAAACTGGAAAAATGTTGCCTAGTCTGATGAGTCTCGAATTCTGTTGAGACATTCAGATGGTAGAGTCAGAATTTGGCGTAAACAAGAATGAGAACATGGATCCATCATGCCTTGTTACCACTGTGCAGACTGGTGGTGGTGGTGTAATGCTACGTTCACACCGGACGCGAATCGCGCGTCAAATTCGCGTCTGACGCGTCTAGTTTGACGCTTGACCACTAGTGTTAATTCGCGTGTCAAGAGCGAAACTGGCGCGCGTAAAGGCCAATTTATACTTCTGCGTAGGGTGCGGGCAGTAGGGACGGCGTAGCATACGCACAGACGCGTCCCATACCGCGTACCCTTCGCCGTCGCCTGAAGGCCAATTTATACTTCTGCGTCGAGGGTACGCCGTAATGTGCGGCGTTGGCTACGCACGTAGGCGACGCCGTTATGAGCATTTATACTTCTGCGTTCAGGTCTTGTTGCTCTGCAGTACTGCTCCGAAACGCTAGTTGGCGGCGGAGAGTTTTAATGTTCCACTGTGTTTAGATTCCTCGCGGCTAGGGTACTACAAGCAATAGCGATTGAAAAAGAGTGGATCATGTTGGAGTTGGAGCTTATTGAGGTGGAAAAACAGTTCACTTTAGTGAAATTACTAAAACTGAAAGGCAGAAATGAGAGAAGACGTCGGAGGAGATGGTACGTGTGGAAATCATAGACAGTAATGGAAATGCGTGAGAAGGTACGTGCGGAAATGCGTAGGAGGAAATGCGATGCTACCAAGCCGACCAATCACCGATCTTGCGGTCCGCGTCGTCGCGACGTGTAGTTACATTTTTGAGGAGGTGCGCGTCAGGCGACGGCGAAGGGTGCGCGCAATGGGACGCGTCTGTGCGTATGCTACGCCGTACCTACTGCGCGCACCCTATGCAGAAGTATAAATTGGCCTTGACGCGCACCTAAAAAGGTAACTACACGTCGCGACGACGCGGACCGCAAGATCGGTGATTGGTCGGCTTGGTAGCATCGCATTCCTACGCATTTCCGCACGTACCTTCTCACGCATTTCCACCACTGTCTATGATTTCCACACGTACCATCTCCTCCGACGTCTTCTGTCATTTCTGCCTTTCAGTTTTGGTAATTTCACTAAAGTGAACTGTTTTTTCCACCTCAATAAGCTCCAACTCCAACATGATCAGCTCTCTTTCAGTCGATATTGCTTGTAGTAACCTAGCCGTGAGGAATCTAAACACAGTGGAACATTAAAACCCTCCGCCGCCAACTAGCGTTTCGGAGCAGTACTGCAAAGCAACCAAGACCTGAACGCAGAAGTATAAATGCTCACAACAGCGTCGCCTACGTGCGTAGCCAACGCCGTACACTACGGCGTACCCTCGACGCAGAAGTATAAATTGGCCTTAGTTTGAAGCGGAATTTACGCGCGTGACGCGCGTCAGAATCAAAATCCGTTGGCGGCCATTGTTTTTATGTCGACCGAGCATTCATCAAGAGTTACCGCTCTGTATTTACTCTGGAGAGCAGAACAGCGGCGTGGGGATCATCGTCGCCGTATATTTGTGTCCACCGGACCCTTCGGAGCCGAACCGTTTGGCGAGTTTCACCATTTGCTCGCTCCAGGAGCTGCGCTGGATGACAGCCGCAGTCAGCGGTACTTCCGCCTGTCACGCGCCCAGTTTGATGACCTGTTGTCCCGCATCTGAGCGAGGATCACCCTCACCCTCATCCACCTAATCTAGCTGTCATTTATTTTTGTTTTGATGATAAATAGAGCCAGCCTTCAAAAGTTATTAACCTGTCCTGTGATTTTTTTCTCTCTCTCACGTCCAGACACGAATTTATGCACATATGTTGATAGTCTTTACAACATAATACTATTTCTAGATATGGAATGAATAACATTCAATACAAAATGAACATGTCTCCTATATAGAAATAATGTTTTAAGTGATGAAACATTTGCTTTGTTGTGCATAATCCCACCATGCATTTAGTCATATTAACAAAATAATTTACTGAAGCATCCAGACACTTCACCACGTGAGCAAGTAGCTAGGCTCCTGATTGGTTAACGTGGCGCGAATTCACGCCAAAGTTCAGATTTTTCAACTCGGGCGGCAGACGCGAATTCGCGTCAAACGCGTGAATGCACAACGCTCAATTCGCACCATTCGCGCCAACCTGACGCGCGAATAAGGCGTATTTGCGTCTTCCGCGCCGCGCTCCATGCCTCATTCGCGCCGCAGGAATTTTTCACGCGCGTAAAGCGTCTTTGGATTGACTTAACATTGAAATCATTCGCGCCTGACGCCCTATTCGTGTCCGGTGTGAACGTAGCATAATGGTGTGGGGGATGTTTTCTTGGCACACTTTAGGCCCCTTAGTGCCAATTGGGCATCATTTAAATGCCACAGCCTGTCCATCGCTTTATGGCCACCATGTACCCATCCTCTGATGGCTACTTCCAGTAAAATAATACACAATGTCACAAAGCTCGAATCATTTCAAATTGGTTTCTTGAACATGACAGTCACCAGATCTCAACCCAATAGAGCATCTTCGTGCCCTGGATGTGCATCCCACAAATCTCCATCAACTGCACGATGCTATCCGATCAATATGGGCCAACATTTCTAAACAATGCTTTAAGCACCTTGTTGAATCAATGCCACACAGAATTAAGGCAGTTCTGAAGGCGAAAGGGGGTCAAACACAGTATTAGTATGGTGTTCCTAATGATCCTTTAGGTGAGTGTATGTCAGCACTGCTTTTAAGTTGAAGAATCATTTTCATGACTTACCTTTCATTTATTAAATTATATTAAATATACTTTTGTTTATTAAAGTATATTTCCTTTATATTTAAAAGATTTATTTTCAGCACTTTTGACTGTTTATAGAGGTCAGTATGGAGAGCAGACGCGAGATGGGAAAGTCCCGCAAGCCCGAACTCAAACTCGGGTCACATGTAGCGCAACCACGAACTGGATCTGAAGTCAGGCTGACTAGATGAATAAGTCAGTCACAAGCCATTTTGAAATGTTTTCAACATTCATAATTATCAGAAATGCTTCTTGATCATCAAATCATCAGATTAGAATGATTTCTGAAGGATCATGTGACACTGAAGACTGGAGTAATGATGAAAATTCACGAATAAATTACAGTTTACAATATTTTTAAATTGTAATAATATTTCACAATATTACTGTTTTTTACTGCCGCCTTGGTGAGTAGAAGAAAACATTTTTTTTTTAACTTAATTATTCTAAACTTTTGACTAGTATTGTAAGCTCCAGGCAAACACAACTCAAGAGTTAACACACATACCTCACATTTCATTATGTTTTGTGAAGAAAAAAAAACAAAAAAAAAACATTTTACTCTAATTAATCAAAATGACCATCGCTACCATGAGAAGCATGCGTGTTAGTCTGAATTGTGCTTGAGTTGTGCTTCTTTACCCTGTTGGAGATAAGCCAGACGGAGATACCTTCACATCAGTTCCATCTGTAGGCATGAACTCCTCATAGATGTAGGATCCAGTCTTTCTGACGTTACTCTCAGGAGAATACACGCTGCTTCTGCTGCCAATCTGAAAGAGATGTACAGGGATCAGAAATGTGTCCAAGCACTCCGCAAGACATTAGGACAAGTTCAAATGAGACCCCAAAAGGCTTGACTTAAAGGTATAGTGGAGGATTTTCTTTTTCCTGGTGGGTAGTCTATACTATTGGTCCACCTAAGTGTCAATCATTCTGGTGATATGTTTACGTAAGGCCGTCGTACGTGCTTATCCCTATGTAGTTTTCACTTTCAGGTGTATTATGTCGGAGTTATGGTTTCAGCCATTCCTTTGAAAATGGCTGAGGGTCGAAAGAGAAAAAATGTATACGAAGTGTTTGATAAGAAGAGAAAGGCCGCAGAATATAGAAACAAGACCAAAGTGATTGAATATCACACAAGTGGGTGAATATCACACGCTGGCGTGCGCTAAAAGCACAGGTTGGGCTTCTCACTGACGCCGCAGTCGCGAAGATTCTAGACAGGTAAAGTTTGTCATGCTACTTGGAGAAATCCATTTAAAATCACTAGTAAAAGTTAATGCAAGCTACTTAGCAATGCTAGCCCTGGCACAATGCACCGCATAGACACGGTAAACATCTCAATTCGTCTAAAGCCTTTTGACCAAATGGTAAATGGTATCACGCTGAAATATTCTAAAACCTTGTGTGTTTATTATTACACAAATGCAACAAGCTACTTCTCCATTACATATGCAACTATGTGTAAAAATAACGTATTAAAACCTACGACAATGAGACATAGCACTGCTTATATGTTGCCATTTAACGTAATTGCGATTCTGCTTATATGTTGCCATTTAACGTAATTGCGATTCTGCTTATATGTTGCCATTAAACGTAATTGCGATTTGCAAAATAGAACGTATTTCGTGTGATACAGGGTTGCACATATCATGTCTTGAGTCCTCGGTCTCTCAATCGATCAGTATAATAAGTAAATAAAACACGAAAGGGCATTTGACATGTTGTCTTTTTTATGAATGTTTTTGAGTTTGTTTATAATTTGCAACATAATTGCGCGAGGCGTAATAGGCGTTCCCTCTCGGGAGCAAGAGTGTTGTGTTTGTGCATGTGCATTTTTTAAAAAAAATTGGAGAGGGCGGGTCTTCTCCAAAATTCGGAAAGATCCTCCGCTATACCTTTAAGTCAAATGATTGGTGATTGGATATTTTTTGCATTTTCTGCTGTTTAACACTTCCCAGCAACACAACCTTGCTTCTGCAGAAACTTTCAGCAGTTTCCTATAACAACGCCTGACATTTGTGTTTTACGTGGTGTGAGAAAGTCACATAAACCACACGAAATCCAACCAGAGCGGTCAGACTAAACTGGATCTCCAGAAATGCGATTTTAATAGGATTTCAAACCACGTATGAAGGTCGAAACGGATTTGTATCGAATTACATGTGTTTTATTGCCATTCACATTTGCTATTTCAATATTTGGATTAGATTTGGATTGGATTTTGCCTATATCACAACTAAAAGGAGGTCTAAGTCCACTTTAAAGTCCAGATGCAAGTCAATGCAAATACTTTGGACACTGAAAATGGGTTGAAGCTCAAAGAGCACCAGATACATTTATTTCATTTTAAAATGTTCTTAGAGGGGAGGCACACCCCTGAGGTCAGCTCCCCATAGTCTCTTAAAATACTATGGGAAACATTGTATATCCCCAAAAAAAAACATTCAAGTACAGTTGTCTTTAGCTGGTTTTAAAATACTTTTGCAAAGAATGTAATGTTGTACTGTGGTGTGTTTTGGGGTGTTTAGGTCACACACACCTTGCGGAAGAGCCGCTGGCTGCCTCCTCCTGCAGACGTGGGGTAGTAAATGTACACATTGTGGTCCTCGGCACTAACTGGCTTCTCCACGAACGGCTTTTGGAAAATCTCCCCGTTCACCTCCACATGGTCCTCTCCCTCCACCAGATTACATTCTAGAGAAACACCACACAGCATATCTTATCAAGGACTGGTGGAATGGTTTGATGAATGCTACTTTTTGTTCTTTATTGATGCAGGTCTTTTTGAAACAGGAAATTGAGGCATATTTTGCACATTGTTATGATCTCACTGCCAGATTAACAGGCCAATCACAGCACTGCACTACCTCCTCTCTCACGTGACTTTACATTTGTATGTTGCTGTTACCACCTCACATTCACAGTACAGGAGATAACATTAAGCTCAAGAGACATTTCAGTCAGTTTAATTAAACATTGCTTTAAAAAGTCTTATTAACATGGTCTTAATTTGATTAGATCAGAATTTGACATGAATTCAACTGAAAAAATTCTCTCAACTAATTCTATAAACTACAAAGTGAACCTACAACCATTTGAACTGTAACTAACAGGTGTGGCAGGTTTTCATGAATCCACACGTCTAAATTGAGGCTGTGAATAAATACTGCAAAACAATGAAAGCCACTCACAATAATTCATTACTAGAAAAAGAAATGTGGCCTTCGTTTTGAGTCAAATAACCTTATGTCTTTCTAAATATACAAATATGTTTCTGGCTGCAATAGTTGAAATATATACAGTATAATATATATATATAGTATAAATTATATACATACATAATACTATATTAAGATTATGATAATATATAAGACACCACTAACAGCTCAAGTAAAAAAAAAGAAAAAGAAAAAAAGAAATGCTGTGTACTTAGTAGTCTGCTCTTTTCTAGCCAACTAATGAACTATGAACACCATATAACTTCCCTGACAGAAAAATAGAGATGATGACATGTTCACCAGCAGTTTTTTTAATGTTTTTGTAAACAAGTTTCAAATTCATTCAGTTATTTTTAACCTCATTCCTGAGGTTGAATAATTTCTCTTAATTTAAGCATGTAACTTTTCATTATTTAATAAACAAAAACATAATCTACTCGGTAGTTAATTCTTCCTCCCAATAAAACTGAAGAAAAAAAAGTTTGGAAAAGTAATATCTCCCCACTACAGTTTAATTAATATTTACATTTACATTTATTCATTTAGCTGACGCTTTTATCCGAAGCGACTTACAATTGCTATACATGTCAGAGGTCGCACGCATCTGGAGCAACTAGGGGTTAAGTGTTTATTTTAATATTACTAATATTTTAATATTACTACTAATATTGTAGGGTATTCATCAGCATAATCACTGAATAAGAGGATTGACAGTTACACACTACAAACTCACAAGGACACACCACTGAGATGTAGCACATCTAAACACATTATCTGTCCATTGGGGCCATAGGCTTACTGCGTGTAGTGAACTAGTGTGAATAAACTAGGTCAGTGTGAGATTTGAGAGAGCTGAAAAACCTTCTGGTCTGGCAGGATCTCTGTTCAGGACTGCAAAGCGAGGCAGTTGTATTCCCTCGGCCTTCAGGATTCGATACACCTCTCTCCTAAACAAGAACACATAACATATCCATTTTTATTTTAAATTTAAAAAGGATAGTTCACCCAAAAATGAAAATTGTGACACTATTTATTCTCATGTCATTCTAAGCCCATAAAGGCTGATTTATACTTCTGCATCAGACCTACGGTGGAACCTCTGCGCTATAGACTACGCGTTGGTTTTCATTTATACTTCTGCGTCGTTGTCCGCGTTAACGCGCAATTACACAAGCAGAGGGAGCATGTGAAACCCGGGGAGCGGTTCTAGCAGGCCAATCAGAGCGCTTGCGGTACGCGTAGAATCGACGTGTTTTTACATTTTTGGAGAGGTGCACGTCAGGGTACGCCGAAAGGTACGCTCGCTACACACAGCCTACGACGTAGCTACAGCGTGAGTTTGACGCGGAAGCATAAATTGGGCATAAGGATTTCATCTTCGAAACTTTCATCTTTTTTTTCTCCAACATGGTTGAGATTCAATTTACCATATGTGATGTTCTTTATGTATGCGAGTTAATCAATGTTTATAGAAAAGCTTACATTCATATGAATAAGTTTTATAATGTCTTTCTTTATTAACTTTATGGTGCGTAACGGTTTTGGTTGAATAGACCTTCAATGGCAGAACAGAAAAATAAATATCTTAATTTGTGTTTATAAAAAAACAAGTCTTATGGGTTTGGAATGACATGAGGGCATGAGAACACGAGGACATGAGGTAAACGCCCGAATTTTCATTTTTGGGTGAACTGTTCCTTACAATAGTCGCAACACCAAGAGTGCCGTTGTTCCACACATCAGAAAAGCTGCTATACATCAGTAGGCACTGCAGTGATCATGTGTATTAAACACATTCAAAATAGGAGCAATTTGTTGTGGAGATGACTTAACCCTCAAACCGTATTCACTTTATAGCCCTTAATCCTGTAATTGTGAACAAATGTGGGCACAGAGGACTCAGGTGTGATCCTAATTTTCATTTATTAAAAATGTTATATCACTATCTTTGATAAAGTTTTGTCTATCCATTTATGGTGTTTTTTTTTGTTTTTTTTTGGGGGGGTATTTTTGAATTCATTTACTTCAAAAAGTTCCATATTTTCTATGTAAATTATGCTTATATTTATGTTTAATTTTTTATATTTTTTTAACTACATTAAAATAACATTCCAATAAGTTCTTAGAGCTAAAACCTAAAGATGAAGTGACTTTGCGGTCACCTAGTGTCTTATTTTGGCTTATTTTAGAATGCTCTAGAATAGATTACAGTTTTTCCCATTCATTTCTATGGGTGCCCATTTTTGACCCAAATACAAGGTTAAGGATTTTTTTTGTTTTTTTTTAACCACTTAACATTGAAAATTGAGTCAAAAAAAATGTGTGTGTTCAGGAGGCAATTTTAAGAAAAGTAGCCAAGTATTGTACCGCTCAGATCAAGGGAAGTTTTTTGCCAATATCTGTTTGTATTGCAGCACATCATGTGCGGTCAAACAATTACTCAAATAAACATTCAAATCCTCTTCCCCATTATTATTATTTCAGTGGAATTGCCCATTATGATCATGTCAGGAATATAAGCAACCGCATGATGTTTTCCCCTGAGCACGGTTCACTATACATCACCATTACAGATGTTCTGATGGGGGTCGTGAAGCACACCTGTCCTGAATAAAGTACTGAAGATCCAGATCGTTGATGACAAATGGATTCCTCAGCTTCTCATAAGCCACAGCCTTATCCAGAGGGAATCCTTTAAAAGCAGACGATAAACAGTGAACAAAATTCTTCTGGTGTGTGAAGCCAACATATCAAGAGGAATGAACATATTTACACATGTTCTAGCTCTTAATACAGTAACTGAGCGAACTCCCTGTGCATTCAATGGTTGTAAGACGCACCGCTATAAATGAGCATGATTGATATTCTACATAAACTTAAAGCTTTGATTTTGCAAATATGTGCACACCTTAAAGTCAGTAAAATTTAAAAGAATTTAAAGGAATTTAAAATGTAATCCATTACACATGCTGTACTTAATTAGATACCATATTTTCTAGAATATAAGTTGTTTTTTATTATCCCACTTTTATTACAATGTGCCTTATATAACTCAATTACTATGCAAGCATCAATATTCAATTTGAAATGTAATGTGCAAAAAAACAATGCAATATGTAAAATGGCAATGCATTTATGGATTTAAATTTACATTTACCATACATCTGTGCAACATTTGGTGCAAAATGAAAATAAAAATTAAATTATATAATTTATATTTGCCATTTAATACACTAGTTTTAATATGTACATTGAATACATATTTTAATCCTTTATAAGTTGCTAAATTCAAATTAAAATGTATTACATAAATGATTAGATATGTTTAACATGTTCAAGTAAAAACTGTAGCAAAATGATCCTTTAAATGTTATTTTTCTTTATTGCATTTACACACACAGTTAAGACACTTGCGATTGCATTTTCATTAAATGTCCCGCAATGAATGTAGCAAAAATAAAAGTGAAAATTGAAAATGCATTCCGACATTTAATGAAAATTAAATAACATTTACAAATTAAAACTAGTGTATTAAATGGAAAATCTAAATATTATAATTTAATTTGTATTTTCATTTCGCACCAAACGTTCCAAAGATGTATGGTAAATGTAAATACAGAAATGCATTGCCATTTTACATATTGCATTGCATATTACATTTCAAATTGAATATTGATACCCATTTGCTTGCATAAATTACCATCAAGGACGCAAAACATAAGCAAAGCAGTTTGTCAAATCCGAGGAAAAGCAAATTTCCCACGCTCTAGTAGTTTAAATTTTGCTTTAAATAAATTTGTTTAGGCTTGATGTATTATTATAATGAATGCCACTATAAAAATATATGTTTGTTTAATACTTTCCACTTACAATTTGCATTCCTGTACTGAATAGTGTTAAATTTAAAGGATTTGTTGTAGAGAGAGGGGAAAAAAATATATATGTTTGTAGTGTTTAAAATGTTTGTAAAAGTTTTGTTTTATTAACCAGTAAATTACATAATTTCTGAACGCAATAATAAAATGTGACACGGATGTTTTCGTCGTGGTCAGAAGTGAATTATTTAATGGGAAATACAGTACTAAGCAAAACCAGGCATGATGGCACAAACCTTTGGAGTGGAAAGAGATGAGGCAATCGCAGAGGGGCCAGTTCTCCACCGGCTCGTTCAGAATGACTTCCTCCTCAAGTGTAACCACAGTGATGTACTTGAACAGACACAGTCTCTCCAGGATCTCCTTCATGGGCTTAGACTTTGACTTCTTGGACATGGCACAGATACCCACCACGATCTGTCTCTCTGGGGGCTGCAGATTAAACACATGCATCTCAAATTATGCTTAACATAAGATCAGTTTTGTCATACCTACCAAAACTCATGCAACAAACATTAAAGGAATCTTTTTCTAGAAGATGTTGTTCTTTACCCTTTTGAAATGAACGTGTTCAATACAAATACTGAAACAAATTCCCTCACTTCATAACACATTATCAAATCACAAATATGACCCAAAATAATATTAACAGCTGAACATTCTGGCTTAATGAAACATAACTCAAAGTAATAAAATTAAGAAATTGTTTTCCAGATCAAAACTCAAAATTAGTACTTTGCAGGACAGTCTCATTATTTGTGCGTTACAAATATTCATATTGTTACAGCTATTAAGCTATTCAGTTAAGGTAAAAAACTGCATAGTGCTGCTTTGAATAAAATTAAACTCAAAAAGAATTATGATGAACTTCACAGAGATATTAAAGTATATCCTGCTATTCAGTGTACGAACAGTTGCTTAATGCTCCTCTAGATGTGCCTTCAGGTGGCCTTTACTACTCAAAATTATTGAAGGCAAAAGGAACTATAACTTTTTTTATCTAAATTCTCAGATTAGAAGTCAGTTCTAAGAAATAATTTTCCCTTTAACTAAGCGGTTTAAGAATAACACCTTTAAAGGAGTCAGATTAACTATCATGGAGTCAGATAAATAATTGATATTGCACAACATCCTTCATCTGCTTTTTGTCAAGTCAAGTCAAGTCACATTTATTTATATAGCGCTTTTCACAATACAGATTGTATCAAAGCAGCTTCACAGTGATAACATGAAAGTAGTACAACACAGATCAACAACATTGCTAAACGCTAAATAACCCCAACTGAGCAAGCCAAAAGCAAGCCAATAGCAAGGCGACAGTGGCAAGGAACCAAAACTCCATCAGATTGGATGGAGAAAAAACCTTGGGAGAACCCAGGCTCAGTCGGGGGCCAGTTCTCCTCTGGCTTACATTCATATTGTTTATATATAAATATTAAATATAAATATTGTTTATGTATAAAACGGCGCCATAACATATCGTTTTGTTGTTTTAAAACAGCATTGTAAGCTTTAAGCCTTACAGTACACTCGCTCCCAACCACACTTATGGCTTAAAATAACATTTTGCATTTGGCCAAATAATCTCTTTTGCATTTATGCAAAATACTGGTCTCAAACCTGAGAAGACAGAAGAACCCACAGCAACCCTGTCCACGTAAAACAATGTTGATGTAAATGAGCAAGGGAGTTGTAGTGTCATGGGAGTTGTAGTGTCAAATTGTCTGGGACCGCTCCATATCCTTAGGTTTCCAGAAATCAATTTTTTGTAGGACCAATCAGCGAATAGAGGGAGTGGCTGAGAACGATGACGTTGATGTAGTGCGTCAGTTTGAGTGCAGTAATGGCAGCGGAGAAAGACGTGAGAAAAGCTATTCGGTCCGTTGTTGGAAAAGAAACTGCCGAATATACAGAATTTAAAGCCGGATTGTTGTCGTCTCACCTCTTGTTGCACAACGGAGGACCAAGTGAAGGAGGCAGAAAGGTTGGAAGTTTGTGCTGGGCAGCTCGTGCACAATGACCGTGACATTTTGGACTTTAGCCTGGTGTTCGCGGTGTTCGAAAGCCCCGAGTCCTGGCTGCTAAACTATTGTTGAAGATCCGCTCAGGAGTCATGTCAGTCGCTCAGATTCCCAACAGTACATTTACTGATTCTTGTGATGAATAGAACATTTTGAGCCCCTTTGTGCACTCGTACAGGAGGTTGGTATGTCAGTTTTACATGTTGTAAATCATACAAATTGGTTGTGATTTAAAAAAAAAAAATTGTCATAAATAAAAATTTGAAAACCCATACTTTGGAGACTATATTTGATTTTCAGTTTTAGATGTCAATGGTTAATTTGTTTTAATAAAAAAAAAAAAAACTAAATGCCATATAAAAATGTACAAACACATACTTTGAAGACCATAATTAAGGTAATTAAGAAACAAAAATACGTAATATGAAAAATTGTTGTTTATTACACATCTGCAGACAGACTGATCATTCACTGTAACTTACAGCATTGACTGAATAATCACTGTCCTTCATGTCAAATATACATTTCGAATTAATAATTGTTCCTAGATTAACAAAACCTGCAGCTCTCGTTGACTGAAATCCTATTGTAAATTTAATCCTCTGATCATTCGGAGTTCGGACTTGTTGTTTCTTTTACTGTCTATGGTTGTTTCCAGCCGTTTCGGCGCATGACATACGTCACTCACGACCACACATTAGCGATTGGCTATGGCAGATCGTGAGTGACTCTGGGCAGATCCAATAGATTTGAACTTTAATAGTGAACCCGCCTACAAGGAAGGAAACGTTGGGAGGCCAGACTCTCTGTACAAATGAAATGTATGTACGAGAGTCTGGTAGAACCAGGCTAGTCTAGCAACTCTCTATAGACGTTTTAGCTGGAAAAACCCAACTCTGGTAGGGCCAATCACATCGAGTCGGCGGGCGGGCTTAACATAATGACGACAGAGTTGCGACGCCGGTCAGAGCAAGCTCGGACATATTCGGTTTTAAGTCGTTCATCCTCGGATGCGGCCGGGGCCGCACGCGCTGTTACAAAAAAGCTGTGGCGAAACGATCAACTTGTCATTTTTTGCCGCGCTCGTGCTGTGTCGTTGAGGATAAAGGCTTTACTCCGTGTCAGCCATAGGCGTCATTTACGGGGGGGGGGGACGGGTAGGACATGTCCCCACCACTTTTTGCCAGGGTCGAATTTGTACCGACCACTTTTGAAACACATTGGCACAGATGTACCAATACAAATAAAACATCTCCAGTTAACAGCATTCGTTTAATTTGTTTGTTAAATAACAGGCGATCTAGTACTGAAATTTGTTATATTCTCTCGGAAACGCGCTTCAATCCGTTGCGGAGATTCGTTCCGGTGAAATCACAAATCAAAATGCACACAAACGTGTCCCTTTTTCTCATGGGTTCTAATCCGCTCTCGTATATTTATTTTCCCCACATCAAAACATATACAACCACTGATAAACATTATATCAATTCAACCACTGATAAACATTATTGGTTTTGATGAGGGAAAAAAAACTATTAGAGTGCGGATTAGAACCTCGAACCCCCCGAGTCTCGACACGCTAGGCAAAAATTCTACCTCTGGACCATCACTGTACATATGCAATCAAGGGCGGATATACTTTATATACTCACTATCCACAAGTTTCCGAGGGGCGCTCATGTAAAAAATAAAGTGGGTGAAACTTCCGGTGAGGCGGCGGAAGTAGCATTCCAATGGTATTTTGTGTGTTAGTTAGCGAAGAGGCTAGCTGTTTTTCTGAGAATTATTTTACTATTTAAAGACGCCAATCTTTATGAGAGATGTCGTTACGGAGCTCAGGGACAACATGCGCTGTTCGCGGTTGTATGTATAACCGGACTAAACTAATTCAGTGGCTTAAACGTGATTGTTTTGAACATAAGCTGAAAACGAAATCAGTGACAGTGATCCTACCAACGACTGAAGTTTCCATCAACCTCCCAAAAGACAACGAATCATCCTGTGTACATTTGTTTAAATTCTTAATATTCTATAAACTCTATCAGCATGTGTTTGGCTGTTCGCTATGATGTTACAGCTAAACTCAGGATCAAAGCCTGTGTTGACAGAATACCAAATGTGCCAGTTAATGTATTCAAGTAGCACATTCATTTATAATTTTGAATAAACTCCAAAGCACAATGACTAAGTGTGTATTTTTTATTTTAATTGTTTGTCAGCTCACACAACTGTCTGTCACCATGCCTTGATGAGTATTGATTATTAATAATGTTATTATAATACTCCCAATCAACTACTGCGGAGGGTAAAGGTACTGTTATTTCACCCTTTTTAATTTCGTTGAGGTTGTGTTCCCACATCGTTAGCTAGTTTGGATCGCTATAACTTGAATGACTGTCAACTGTTGAATGAACGAGTGGGAAGTATGTCAAGTAGCGCTTTGTTTACTTCAAACCGGAAGTCGCGCCCACTTTTGACGCAAGGCCTCATGGGGCGTAGGAAACTTGTGGATACTCTGACATTGTGCTCATTTTTATTTATGTACATCAGGAAGCTACAGGACATCGTCTTTCAAAACATGACCTACTCGAAAGTGAACCCAGCACTTTTCAAACCAAACTGACACCCATGGTGTCAACGTGCGTTCTGATCGGTTAAGGTGCACGGACCTCTCCCGAATTATCTCCAGCACTCCGAAGCACCACTACTCCGGCTCCGTTTCCCTCGTAAGCTGATATTAGTATTTAAACATTCTCTATGATATTATTTTTTTAATGACACACTGTCTCTTTCTCTCTCATATACACACACAAACACACACATACAGTCTCTTTCTCTTTCACACATATGCAGGCTAGTTATAAACTCAATAATATAATACATTAAATAGACTTTTAATGATTAGTGTTTTATTTTTAAAGTTTGTGGGTCGTGTGAAAAACAAGAAAATCCCTTATTTTGGGGATGGATTCCGGGAAATCTCCCTTATTTTCAATGTTGACAGCTGGACTGGATACGGTAAAAGTTTATTACATCAACTTGCTCCCCTGAGTACGTCACCTTCTTCGTTGCTCTGATTGCGTGCAGAGAGAATTTGAAAGACAACCGTTTATCCCGCCCCTCGGATTGAGCTCTGTCAATGAAGAGTTTCCAGACCTAACATCTTGATGTAGGTCTGGCATGCCAGGCTAAGATGTCTTTTGACAAGACTACAATTTTTCAACATGCCAAAGTGGCTAGTGAGAGTGACTGTGAAATCCACCCAAATTTGACAGTTTGGGGAGTGTTAATGGCAAGCCCTGATTACAATTATTGCCAGCAGGACCATTTAAAACAGTCATTGCATCAACAGTGAGAGGAGGAGGCCCATTCAAGTGCTTTACGGTATACTGGGTGGGGTGATGATTACCTAATGAACTCCAAGGTTTGGTACATAACACGCACACTGCGCCTTCACATCAAGCGCTTTCTGTGTCTTGGCCATTGCACTATTAACGCTGCGTTCGAAATGTACATACATCTAGCCCTCAGAATCTGCATCCTTCGAGGTCAACGAGTGTCGGACCAAGGGTTGTTAAACGGGACGGTCTAGCCTACCATAAGATTGTTCTGGTTCCCATCCCTAATGAACAGTGACAGCTGCGGTTTACCAGCAGGAAGACGGGCCAAGAATCTGAAGACCTGTCAGCAAGTAAGCCTCTCACATACCGAATCATATTCTTCATCGTCGTCTCGCTCCTCATCCTCCTCTTCCACGTTCTCGTACAGGCAGTCGTAGCCGAGCACTCTGCCCGGGTCCAGCAGCTCATCCCCCTCTCCATCCTCAGCTCCCACGAAGAAGCGCGGGTGGTCCAGGTCCTCGTGCACGGACATGTTCCCCACAGACGGCTCTCCGCAGAGGTTAACACCGAGATCCCGCCCCACAGGCCTCGTCCTGCTCCTCACACACGCTCATCTGAACACAGCACACACAGCAGTTTAGTGCTTCTCAAAGGACATGTACACACTGTAGAGGTTCAGAGGTGACAACCGCATTGACATGGGGGAGTGGGGTAGCTATTTTGACTAAAGTAACATTACAGTGACTGAGACTTGTTGTGTTCAGCAATTGTAACTAAAGTGTTTTGTTTATGCTTAAGACTTTATACACATAAAAAAAGTTTTTTGTTTATGCTTAAAGGAGTAGTTCACTTTAAAAAAAACTTTTGCAGATAATCTACTCACCCCCATTTCATCCAAGATGTCCATGTCTTTCTTCCTTCAGTTGAAAAGAAATTAACATTATATAATTTAGGTGGGACACACATCATGTGTCCTGTGAAAATTGTACAGAGACCCAGACAGTTCAGGGTCCAAAAGACAGTTTCAGTACAAACTGCAAACTGTTCAAAGGGCTTTAAACGATTTCAGACGATGAATAAGGGTCTTATCAAGCGAAACGATCGCTCATTTAAAGAAAAAAAAAAAAGTTTAAGTTTTATAAGCTCAAATGGTCGCCTTGCTCTGTTCTGTAATGCGCGTTCATGACTCCTGTTTGAACTCGTTTATCAAAATGAACAAATCTTTTTTCGTGTCATTTGGTTCATTCAACGAATCAGAACAGAGCAAGGTGACCATTTGAGCTTATAAAACTTAAACTTTTTTTTTTTTATATGAGCGATCGTTTCGCTTGATAAGACCCTTATTCATCATCTGGAATCGTTTAAAGCCCTTTGAACAGTTCGCACTGAAAGTGTCATTTGGACCTTGAACCGTTTGGTTCCCATTGAAGTCCATTATATAGAGAAAAATGCTGGAATGTAAACCTTTATTTCTTTTCGACTGAAGACAGAATGACAAGGACATCTTGGATGACATGGGGGTGAGTAAATGATCAGCAAAAGTAATTTAAAAAGTGAACTACTCCTTTAAGACTTTATAAACATAAAAAAAGTGTTTTGTTTATGCTTTGTTCATTTGAGAGCAGCTCTTGCAGTGTTACCATGTTCAATTAATTATAAGTGCTTTCGGGCTTGATGGCCCTTTAATTCCAGCTGACGGGCTTGGCTCATACAGCGATCAAGTTTATGGAGTTATTAAAGTGAGCAGGTGTGGGTTGTGATATTTCAGGCTTATTTTCAGCATAAAGCATTTTTATTTATTTCTGGGGGGTTTTAAGGACTTGTTTGCTGATTTCTTACAAGATCTGGCAACATGAGTCAGGCTCGTCACCGCACACACAGACAAGAGACACATCTCAGTCTGATGCACGTTAAACTACGTATTTTAGCGTGCATCAGACGCATCTCTTATCTGTCATGTCTTTAAAACAAACCATGTGTAAATTCATAAGTCGACAGCATTGCTGAGTATTTTCTGCTTAAAACTGCAGTGAACCAAAGACAGTCTCAAAAACACATTTTCATATTTTCAAAACATAGTTTTCAAGGTAAAAAGCATTTTCACAAATATTAGAATTGATACAAAAATATTCGGTACTTTCCTGTTATCCGGACCCCACGATGGCCTACCCCTAACCCTGCCCCTAAACCTACCCGTCACTGGGGTTAAGACCAATGAGGGACGAGGCCTACCCCTAACCCTGCCCCTAAACCTACCCATCACTGGGGTAAAGACCAATCAGGGATGACTTTAGTTCCTAAATGGTATATGGTGAGATCCGGACCCCACGATGGCCTACCCATAACCCCGCCCCTAAATTTACCCGTCACTGGGGTTAAGACCAATGAGGGACGAGGCCTACCCCTAACCCCACCCCTAAACCTACCCGTCATTGGGGTTAAGACCAATCAGGGACGATGGCCTACCCCTAACCCCGCCCCTAAACCTACCCGTCAATGGGGTTAAGACCTATCAGGGATGACTATAGTTCCTAAATGGTATATGGTGGGGTCCGGATAACAGGAAAGTACCAAATATTCTAACATGTTTAGGGAGTCAGACCATATGTCACATTACAATCTAAAATACCATTACCTTGTCATAAAAGTCAAATTATCTGAAAAAAGTACCTGATAATTCTGTTGCAAAAAAAATAAAAATCACAATCGTCTTTTTCAATGACCTTGAAACAGCCATGCAGCCGTGTTTATCACAGACACATTGCATTTAAGTTATTGTATGTACTAATTGCACTTTTAAAGTATTATCTGAGTATTATTGTTCATCTCCAGGAGCTGAAGGTGGACTTCAGGAGGAACAGCCCACTCAGGTTCACTGGAGCCAATCAGGTTACTGGTTCAGTCTGGTTTTGAATGTGACCGACCCAGAAAGCACTGTCTCACCTCTCAGATGTGTCAGAACAATCCCCAGATGACCAGAGGCTCACAGTTTTCTATTACCCTGCAAAATAAATACAATTTTTAGTTATTTGTTTCTGGTGTATGGTTTTATTTCTTATACAAACAAAGATTTTTTTTTAAAAGTGATTTCAGAAAATGAATGGCGACTAAAACTTTGATGCTTAGAAGTAATATGGTTTACTTTTACTCTGCCTATGTGATAATATTTTATAAAACGTTTGCTAATCTGCAGAAGAAAGAGTCATACCCATCCAGGATGAGGCATGTGTGAGTCAATCATGAGAGAATTTTCTCAATGTTTCATGTGTGTGTCCTGAGCTTGCAGATTACACTACACACAGTTGAAAGAACAGGATACACTCACTCACACAGTGCTCTCATTCCGTGCGGTTGACTACATGTACTCTACACATACTATACGCTACATATGTGTGAAAGCTAAATATACTTCAAGCTTTTAGGGGTTTTTGGGGGCTTCTTTCAACATCTAGGTTTAAATACACAAGTTAAAGGGTTAGTTCACCCAAAAATGAAAATTCTGTCAGTATTTACTCACCCTCATGTTGTTCCAACCCCGTAAGACCTTCGTTCATCTTCGGAACACAAATTAAGATATTTAAGATATTAAGATCGCTCCTGCATACAGTCCATAGGCTTCTTGAGGGACTGGCTCTTGCTGTCCTCGAAAAGTCATTAAAGACATCGTTAAAATAGTCCAAGTGACTACAGGGGCTCAATCTTAAGTTTATCAAACGACGAGAACACTTTTGTGCGCAAAAAAACAAAAAAAATAACGACTTTTTCAACTATTCGTTTATTTCTCCCTCTGCGCGAGTCAGGTTACTAGTTTAATAGCGTAAGCTTCTGTTATTGTACGTCACACGCATCACACACACATGACCAGCGTCGGCCAATAGTGAGCGGCGTGTGACGTAGCTCTACGCAATCACACTACGTTAACTGACTTACAGGCTCATGGAGAAGGAAGTGAATAGTTGAAATAAAGTCGTTATTTTTGTTGTTTTTTTGCGCACAAAAGTTTTCTCGTCGTTTGATAAAGTTAAGATTGAGCCCCTGTAGTCACTTTGACTATTTTAACGATGTCTTTAATGACTTTTCGGGGGCAGCAAGAGCCAGTCCCTCAAGAAGCCTATGGACTGTATGCAGGAGCGATCTTAATATCTTAAATATCTTAATTTGTGTTCCGAAGATGAACGAAGGTCTTACGGGGTTGGAACAACATGAGGGTGAGTAAATACTGACAGAATTTTCATTTTTGGGTGAACTAACCCTTTAAAACTGGATTATTTCACACAATTCGCTCATATTTTCAACAGTGCTGACACTTCTCTAAAGAAACACACTGATGCCGAAGCATATCATGCACTTATATAAGACACATATTTGACCTTCATTGCACCCAAACAAAATCCCATGACTAAGAATCAAGGTGAAGTCAGTTTAAAGGATGTTTCAAGCCAGACGAAAACATGAACACATAAAACATGTTTTATTAAGCTGTGCATTACTTTGACACACTCATCTCTGACTAATAACAGAAAGCTTGGAAACAGCTTTTTCTGTAAAGCTGTTTTAGAACAACATGTATTGTGAAAAGCGTTATACAAATGAACTTGAACTAAACTAAATCTTTCAGGTGCGCTGAAAACAGTAAAAACTTTCACAATTCAAGTGTTTTCTTATTTTAAATTTCTTATCTTAAATTGATCACACTTATTTTATAAAGGAAAATAATACAAAGAGAATTAATGAGAGATGTAAATGTTTAACTGTGGCACTGATTCCGGTAGATGTAAAAATGAACGGATTAGAAACATATAGAAAGCAGAATTAAGGGGGATAAATTCAGTGGGCAAAAGAGCAAAAGTGGCAATGTTTAAGGGATATTTTGAAGAATATTTAACTCACTGATCAGGTTATGCCAGTACTTCAAGGAACATATTTAAGTATATACTGTAAATACATGTGTGTACATGTATAACATTGCACATTCTTGTTCCTTATACTTTGAGTTTAAGATGAAATGTAATGATCAAGGTCATTCAAAGTTCCAGTTTTAGGGTCATAAATGATAATAGGAAGGTTTTAACTTTACAAAACCAATAGTAGTGCTCATAAAGATTTCTTTTTAATGGGGGAAGGAAAGTGACATTTTTATAAATCCTCGTTCTACTGTTCTGAGTTTGAGATTAGCTGTTACAGAGCTAATACAGATGTAAGCATAAACATAACACACATGAACAGTATTTTACAGTAATTACGTTTATGATTGACATACAAGAGCTTTATTCTTGTCAACCAGGTCTAAAAATGTGGTTTTCAACATTCTTCAAAATATCTTCTTTCATGGTCCACCGAAGAGTGGAAAGCAAACAGGTTTGGAACGGTATTATGAGGATGAGTAAATGGCATTTCATTATACAAAAAAACTATGCTTAGAAGTGTTAATTATCCTGCTATAGAACATCTGTGTTTAGTTAAGGCCATCCTGAGCCGAGATACTCTAGGGCTGCATGATTCATTGTGTTTTAATAGCTTTTAAAAATAATGACTTTGTTAAGATTCCATTAAGATAACGATTTCAGAATCTCTGGATTAATTAAAACTAATTGTTGCGATATCTGCTACTTTTTATTTGTCCTGAAACTGGTTTGTAAAATTAGTCATTTTTTGCATTAGTAAGCATTGCAAGTAAAGCTTTATTTATACACCTTTTAAAAACAGTGCTTACAAAGTGTATTACAGAAGAGAAATTCACAGACAAGATCATACATACACCCATAGGAATATAAGATAATAAAATACAATACGAAAAATCAATAAAAGATGCATGTTTACATTTACATAAGAAAAACGTATTTCTTATTTAACTAATATCTAAAATATAATGCATGGAAGAGCATTGGTAACAAGCCTCCTCTATCTTTCCTGCTTAGAGTTTGCAAATGTTAAATTAAATCCCCCAAACAGAGCTTTTCTCTTAAAAATATATGTTTTCTGTCAAGTGTTTTACTTAATCTTCCCAACATGGCAACCATGCGCACCTTGGGCTGCAAAAAAAAAACACAGATGAACAGAAAACACATACACATGTGTGTTGAAGTTTAGCGATGTGCATTGTGAAATTCTGCTCGAATTAAAGTGTCACAGCCATTGTATGTTCCTCAGGCAAAACCTGAACACCACACGGTGCTATCTGTGTTCAAACTGAACTCACAGACAGTCTGTGTTCAAACAGTCTCAAGTCTCAGACAGCGTGCAAATATTGAGTTCACTTTTGAGGCTTGCGCTTAAACCGAAAAATTTACACAAAAATTGTCAACCTGCCTGTCTTGGCGAGTATAGCCAGCCAGACAGTCAGTGGAGAAAGGCAACGCAAGTGTACAGTATCAGTGCATTATGCCTTAAAGGGTTAGTTCACCCAAAAATGAAAATTCTGTCAGTATTTACTCACCCTCATGTTGTTCCAACCCCGTAAGACCTTCGTTCATCTTCGGAACACAAATTAAGATATTTAAGATATTAAGATCGCTCCTGCATACAGTCCATAGGCTTCTTGAGGGACTGGCTCTTGCTGTCCTCGAAAAGTCATTAAAGACATCGTTAAAATAGTCCAAGTGACTACAGGGGCTCAATCTTAAGTTTATCAAACGACGAGAACACTTTTGTGCGCAAAAAAACAAAAAAAATAACGACTTTATTTCAACTATTCGTTTATTTCTCCCTCTGCGCGAGTCAGGTTACTAGTTTAATAGCGTAAGCTTCTGTTATTGTACGTCACACGCATCACACACACATGACCAGCGTCGGCCAATAGTGAGCCCACGTGTGACGTAGCTCTACGCAATCACACTACGTTAACTGACTTACAGGCTCATGGAGAAGGAAGTGAATAGTTGAAATAAAGTCGTTATTTTTGTTGTTTTTTTGCGCACAAAAGTTTTCTCGTCGTTTGATAAAGTTAAGATTGAGCCCCTGTAGTCACTTTGACTATTTTAACGATGTCTTTAATGACTTTTCGGGGGCAGCAAGAGCCAGTCCCTCAAGAAGCCTATGGACTGTATGCAGGAGCGATCTTAATATCTTAAATATCTTAATTTGTGTTCCGAAGATGAACGAAGGTCTTACGGGGTTGGAACAACATGAGGGTGAGTAAATACTGACAGAATTTTCATTTTTGGGTGAACTAACCCTTTAAAGTGACAGCAGCCTAATATTCCTGCTGTGTATTAATGTTAATCAAACGACAAAAGATAAGGAAATCACTCCCTGCTCTTGACTGAATAGTTTTTGTAACTTGAATAAGTATTAATCTTTAATTTATACAGTCAAATATGCAATGTCATTTTCCACTTGATTACTATATTCTATTTCTGTACCTGAAAATTGTTGTTAGACCTACTTGAAAAAAAATGAAGCACTGTTTATTTTATGTGCATCTTTGTACGATTGTGTTTATTTGTGCTGTTGCTTGAAGTTTAAATACTTGTTTTTAGTAGTCGTTTTTCCATGAACATTGCACTTAACGAACTGACCCTAAAATTGTGATAAAAACCTAACAGTGAGCAATTTGACTGAACTGTTACACCCATAATAGTCATGATGATGAATAATAATGGCTTATGAGTCTTTTTCAACGTTTTTCTGTATGTAGAATGTCTTGTATTTGATGTATTTGATTGGTGTTTTTTTTACAGTTTTTGTGCAGCACAGTGGTCAGCGACAGTAATATTATTGTGCTATATATAAATAAATAAATTAACTAAACTATCCAAAAAGAAAAAAAAACTGCAGTGATCCGAGACATAAACGGAGAGAACTGCCATAATCCTGGGACATCTGTCACTGACACCACCTGTCTGACAACTCACAACACCACATGACACACACAACATATACAACACCACATGACACACACAACTCAGCAGCAGACTGGACAGACCTCACACACACACACACACACACACACACACACAGCGGGGGCAAATCAATTCACCACAAAACAAACAAGTGTCACACACCGGCGCTACAGTCATATAACGTTATGCAGTATAACGGCTTCGGTGTTAATTCATTATAAAAGACAGAAGATATTAAACTTAGTTAAATTAGATATCTGATTACGCAAAGTCAAATCAACACAACAGTTTTGAAGCCAGTGTCATGTGACTAACAACATATATCTGTACTAACATGACAAAAGGTGTGACAATGCATTAGTATGGCAGTAAAAGTCATGTGCAGTTTGACGTCTCACTTCTTCAACAGCTAACGTTAACAGTTAATGACTCCTCCTGCAGAAATATTGTGTCAGACACAACACATGCATGGTGATAGAGGTGATGAACAGCAAGAAATTTATATTCTTACCTGCTCTAAAAGATATCGAAGTAAAATCGGAGGCTGTGAGCTGCTATGTTAGCTATCTATCACACACACATTGAAACACTGAATGAGGAGCGCTATTAGCACACATGCTAAAAGCACCAGCAGCAAACATCCTAATCCGAGCACATTCTGGTATTTTGCGGGCCTCTAAGATTCTCCATTAACGGTGCATTACAATCATCTGTGTAAATATTGTCTGAATGTACTCCAGTTTAAGCTAAAAGTAAAAACGACAGTCGAGGAGGGGACGCGTCAATCGTGACGTCACGTAAAGGATGAGGAGCTAAGGTGACGTTGTCCAATCAACGGCCGCGTTCAAACTCTAACGGGTGTTTATCCACAAGTTTCCTACGCCCCATGAGGCCTTGCGTCAAAAGTGGGCGCGACTTCCGGTTTGAAGTAAACAATGCGCTACTTGACATGCTTGACACTCGTTCATTCAACAGTTGACAGTCATTCAAGTTATAGCGATCCAAACTAGCTAACGATGTGGGAACACAACCTCAACGAAATTCAAAAGGGTGAAATAACAGTACCTTTTTACCTCCGCAGTAGCTGATTGGGAGTATTATAATAACATAATTAATAATCAATACTGATCAAGGCATGTTGACAGACAGTTGTGCGAGCTGACAAACAATTAAAATAAAAAATACACACTTAGTCATTGTGCTTTGGAGTTTATTCAAAATTATAAATGAATGTGCTACTTGAATACATTAACTGGCACATTTGGTATTCTGTCAACACAGGCTTTGATCCTGAGTTTAGCTGTAACATCATAGCGAACAGCCAAACACATGCTGATAGAGTTTATAGAATATTAAGAATTTAAACAAATGTACACAGGATGATTCGTTGTCTTTTGGGAGGTTGATGGAAACTTCAGTCGTTGGTAGGATCACTGTCACTGATTTCGTTTTCAGCTTATGTTCAAAACAATCACGTTTAAGCCACTGAATTAGTTTAGTCCGGTTATATATACAACCGCGAACAGCACATGTTGTCCCTGAGCTCCGTAACGACATCTCTCACAAAGATTTGCGTCTTTAAATAGTAAAATAATTCTCCGAAAAACAGCTAGCCTCTTTGCTAACTAACACCCAAAATAACATTGGAATGCTACTTCCGCCGCCTCACCGGAAGTTTCACCCACTTTATTTTTTACATGAGCGCCCCTCGGAAACTTGTGGATTAACCGCTTGACCTGATTTTTTTAGTTTACCTGCCCCCTTCCCCATTCCTACTAACAGATATGAAATCGGTCATTTTTGACTTATGCTTTATGAAAGTCAAAATGATGGAGTTGGTTTGATAACTTAATGGTTTGGAGTTGGGACACCCTGCGAATTCAGCCGTTAGGACATTCAGACTGTCAACACGTATTCTTTTGTACTGCAGTGCAGTTGCACACTTCTTGTAATCATAGATATCCAACATAAAATTATGAAGGACTAAAAGTGACAAAAGGAAAAATAAATACGTGTAAAAATAAAGAAATAGCCATTTATATTACCAAAGTGTTTTGTTTTTTCACTATATTTCTGCATTTAGTTATTTCTACTTTTATTTATTTATTTATTTTTTGTCATTTTTAGTCCTCCATAGTCAACACTGAGTTTTGTCTAATATACAAATCAAAGAGGTGCAGGCAGAGGAAGAGCAGTAGACAAAGTGGTGGCAAAAATTAGCCTAGTTTATTGAATAATCTTCAAATTCAACAGGTTTTTATACTATACTGCCTCAGGACTTCCTGATAGTGTTGGTCTTATGTACTCTACTGGTCTGGTGGACCATGAATAGTGCTGTTCTCTTACGAGAGGTTCTCTCGTATTGCGTAAGCTAGCTTACGCTACGGGAAAGATTAATCTTTGCTGAGAAGTTGAAGCCAAAAAATTATTCCATAATTTTGTAATCATTGTCAACGCAGTCTCTTCTGAGGCAGACCATGAGCGGGCTAGCTAGCGGCTCATTGGTTCGCTCAGAGAGAATGCACGAACCTATGGGAGAGCGGCGCTGAGTCCGCGGCCAATGAGCGGACGGCGCCCGCTTACTGCGTCACAGCCCGCCAAAAGGGGCGTGGCTACAGTGTATAAAGGTCGCTCTCCCAGCTCGTTCGTTGATTCTGTTCATTTCAGCGAGCTACACGCATCCGCTGTTCTGGGAAGAAGCCGCCGTCGTTGAGAAGGCACCGTCTAGCGAGCTCCGGAGTCTGAGGAAGCCGGCCGTCTGCCACCTTCAGCCGCCCAGCAAGCTAGCGCCATCCGACGCGTATCCTTTTTTCTTATTATTCCTAAAAGAGCACGAGCGTCTTTTTAAAGATGCCTCGTAATTCCTGCGGCTCTTGCCGCTCTCCGCTCGAGGATGGAGACCGCCACCCCATCTGCGCTCTCTGCCTCGGAGTGGAACACGCAGAACTCGCCCTCGCCAACGGAGGATGTGACCACTGCGAGGACCTGCCGCTGTCAACCCTGCGGGCTCGACTACAGGCGGTCAAAACCGCTCCAGCGCCGCCTCTTACTTCGCCGCGGAAGAAGAAACGTCGCTCCCAGAGGCCGCCGGAGCCCTCTGCGGATCCATGTGGGCCGCCGCCGCCGCCCACCGACCGCTCTCCCTCTCCGCCCCTGCCGGACTTACAGTTGCCGCCGAGTGGCCGCTCTGTCGCCTCCGAGGACACCGCGGATGAGAAGGACTCTTGTTCGCTGCACGCTTCGGACAGCGAGGATTGGTCGTCGATTGGCTCATCGACGAGAGAGTCTGCGGGGACCCGCGCCGGCATCGAGGAGGAACTAACGCGCCTCCTTTCTCAGGCCCTTAGCCGCCTGGGTCTCGAGTGGTCTCCTCCCCCTGAGCAACCACCGAACCGCATGGATGGAAAGTTCCTGCTCCGGCGTCCGGCCCCCGCCTGCAGCCGGGCTGCACCCTTCCTGCCGTAGCTTGACAGCGAGCTCACGAAGTCCTGGAATGCTCCTCTCTCGGCCCGTAATCGCTCTGATGTGTCCGCTTCGCTGCGCTCAGTGGACGGAGCTGCCGAGAAGGGTTATACTGCCATGCCACCCGTCGAGGACTCGGTCGCCGCTCATCTCTGCCCGCCCTCTGCTAGATGGCGGTCTGCTCATACGCTTCCCTCAAAAGCGTGCAGAGCGACCTCTAACTTTCATGCCCGCGCCTATTCTGCCGCCGGTCAGGCCGCTTCAGCGCTGCATTCGATGTCTGTCCTCCAGGTGCTCCAGAGCGACATCTTGTGTGAAATGGCGAGCAGCGGGAGGCAACCGCCCGTCCTTGCGGATCTGAGAAGCGCTACGGATCTTTCCCTTCGCGCCACTAAAGCCGCCGCACAAGCTCTTGGGAGATGCATGGCCGCCCTCTGTGTCGCCGAGAGACACTTATGGCTCACGCTTACCGACATGGGAGAGTCAGAACGAGCCGCGTTCCTCAACGCGCCCATTCCCCTACCGGGCTCTTCGGATCCGCCGTCACGGGCATCGTTGACCGCTTCTCCGAGGTTCAAAAAGCGACTCAGGCCATGAACTTGTTCCTGCCCCGCCGCTCGAGTTCTTCGACGGGCCGTTCTCACGAGCCGCCTGCCAGAACCACACAGCAGCGCCCGCCTCAGCAAGCTCAGCAGCCCCAGCGTAGACAGGGCGGCCGCCCTCGCTCTCGCTCAGACAGCCGCCGCAGACAGCCTCCTCCCCGGGGGCCTCGACCCAAGATCACGCTGAAGCCTGATCAACAGAAGTCTGCCTAGCACAGCTGAGAAAAAGACGGCGTTCTCCCGCTGCGGCCGGACCACCGTCAAAGCTTCGCCCTCTGTTAGTCCCCGTCTCACCGCTGACTACAGTAGTGTTTACCGCCACAAACAAGCGGTTTCCCTGCCCGCTTGCGAGCGACTAAAAGCCGTTTTCACGGCTACCCAGAGAGTTCACAAAAAGAGCATAAAAGCCTCAAGTGTAAAAAATGTGCCCACAACCATGTGCTCACGTACACACACAAGCATTCTATGCCCAGGGTCTCTCGCAGAGCCCATTCTCACGGAGCGTGCACTTTCCGCTCCAGCAGCAGAGAACATAAGCACGCCCACGAGCCCGTGCGCGTGTCCCCCCTCTGCCCGCTCTGTCTCAAGGCCCTTAAACTCCTCTCTGAGTGTAAGTCCCGTTGCCTTCCACATTATAAGCGAGCCCACACCCAGTGTCCAGCCCGCAATGTGCAGCAATCAGGGCGAAATCGCCATTCAACCACTAGCCGTATGCTACAAAGCGTGGGAAGCCATCCCCGGCATCTCCCCGTGATGTTATGTTATGTTACGTTCCCACGGTTATGTTCCAAAAGCGATTGGTACCCCTTTCAGGGCGCAAGTCATCTCTCTATCGGCGCTGCCTGCATCCGATAGCGAACGTGACGCTGACCGCCTCTGCCCGGTTCGGGCTATCAGAGTGTACACTACACGCGTTGCCGCGTTCAGACGCTCGGAGCAGCTGTTTGTGTCGTTCGGTGGCCGCACCAAGGGACTAGCCGCCTTGAAACAGACCCTATCCAGGTGGATAGTAGACGCGATTGCCTCTGCTTATGCCGCTAAAGACCTGCCTTGCCCTCTGGGCATCAGGGCTCATTCCACCAGAGGCATGGCCTCATCGTGGGCATGGTCCTGCGGGATTTCCATTCACGACATTTGTGTGGCTGCGGGATGGGCCTCCCCCTCCACCTTTGTCAGATTTTACAACTTGGAAGTTCCAGCCTTACAGGCGAAAATTCTGGCGGTCTAGTACTCACAGCCCTCCTATAGAAGCCGCACTATCGGGAGTTCCATCACACCGGCTCACCCCTTGTGTTCCCCTATGTGCTTATGCATTAGCCCACACATCACGGCCCGCCTTCGCCGGCCGCCTTGGGCGTTTTTGCACTAGATAGTAACGGCCGCTATGCTGGCCGCCGTATTATCTTCATCCACTTATAGATTCCCCCGGTGTTCCCCTGGGATGCTTAGTGGTTACTTAGCGCGCACGGCGTTGACCAGGTGTTCCCGTAGCGTAAGCTAGCTTACGCAATACGAGAGAACCTCTCGTAAGAGAACGAATCGGTTACCTAACGTAACCTCGGTTCTCTCTAGATGAGGGAACGAGTATTGCGTTCCCGGCCGTGCTTGCGCCAATAGCGTTTCGCTTCATGCTACAGAATCAACGAACGAGCTGGGAGAGCGACCTTTATACACTGTAGCCACGCCCCTTTTGGCGGGCTGTGACGCAGTAAGCGGGCGCCGTCCGCTCATTGGCCG